TTGTTTAATACGTAAACCTTTAGATCAATTAAAAAAATATCTATATGAAGTAGTAATATGTAATTTAAATAAAAACTTTAACGGTTTAAAACGCGATATATTAGTTAAACTTATTTGAAAATGATTTTTAACTTCGGCCCGTGCCGTGATCACGGGAGTCTCCCCGTGACCACGGCTGTGCAAAGCGTCAAAGTCGGGGAAGTTTAAAATCATTTCCAAATAAGATTAACTAATATATCGGTTTTAAACCGTTAAAGTGTTTTATTTAAATTGTAATACTCGCGTAAATATAGACAGTATTTAGTAATAATGTAAGTTAAAAATGCTTGCCGGTTCAAGTCCTGCCCGCGTCGTAAAGTTTTTTTTTATTTTTTTTTAATTCATATGTATCATCGTGTGCAATAACATATGAAAAATATTAAAGTTTTTGAAGTAATAATGTGCTAAAAACAAATTCTTAAAGTTGCGAAGATTCCCTTCACAAATTAACGAGAAATGTAGAAAGCTCAATTGCAAGACAAAATCTCAACGACACATTTCCTCTTCCAATGATGTGCACTTAGAATTAGTTTAGTCACATATAATTCGGGTTAATACACAGAGTTTCCTGTTTGTTAAACTGGAATTCACTGATGTCATGTTTTAATAATATCTGCTAACGAAGCTTCAACAAACATAAGATTCAAATTATTTATTGTCCTTAATTGTATTATTTCTGGCAAGGAAAAACTTTATCAGTCTGGTAATTCAAGAAGATTATGAACCATGATGCCCCGTTCTTCTAGAAGTCTTTCGTTTACGAGTTCTGGAGTTTGATCTTCCACCGTAAAATACTACAAGAAGAACCGGTTTGTACTACAACTATCTCGATGTATATCATTTGGATTCTGCCACAGACTTTTAAACTAATAAAAAACCATAGATTAAATTTCGTAGACCTTAAAAGTTTAACAACCTCCTTTATCCATAAATATACAAAAAATTAACAGCTGTCACTCGTGTCGTATCAAAGGCAGCACATTTACAACATAAAAATAATGAAATAGACACTATAATGACCAATTCAATGGAATCGAACGTGCAAGACGGTTTGGACAAGCTGGCAAGTAACCAAAATCATATCGTGGGAAAATTTGAAATTCTGAGTCGCAATGTTGATGATATAAAACGAATAATGACGCAATTCTCGGAGAAACTGCTCGTTCTAGAAGAAGCCGTGTCGGATAGAAGAAAATTGAAGAACGAATTGAGAAACATGAAGAGCAGAATAGACGAATTGTTCACGCTTGTGCAGGAGGGAAAAGAAGATTTGTCTGTGAAGAGTGACGATGTGCAGGACGTGGAGTCGTGTCATTCTGGATTCTCTTGCACCTCTAGGGTAAATATTGCAAAGTATTTTAGCCTACAATAAAGGCCATAATCATCAATAGGAATATTAAATACTGTCTATAGTTTACGCGAGTAGTACACATTTAAATAAAACACTTTAACGGTTTAAAATGCGATATATTAGTTAAACTTATTTGAAAATTATTTTTAACTTCGGCCCGACGTTTCGGATGCTTTGCAGCAGCCGTGGTCACGAGAGACTAAAGATAGAGGATGTCTCTACGTCAAAGTAAGAAATTGCTACGCTAGTGCCATCTGTTCCGTCGAAGTTGGTATTTGGCGAAACTGGCCGGGTCTCAATAGGAATATTAAATACTGTCTATAGTTTACGCGAGTAGTACACATTTAAATAAAACACTTTAACGGTTTAAAATGCGATATATTAGTTAAACTTATTTGAAAATTATTTTTAACTTCGGCCCGACGTTTCGGATGCTTTGCAGCAGCCGTGGTCACGGAGAGACTAAAGATAGAGGATGTCTCTGACGTCAAAGTAAGAAATTGCTACGCTAGTGCCATCTGTTCCGTCGAAGTTGGTATTTGGCGAAACTGGCCGGGTCCTTACAGAATTGCCTAACGACGAAACGTCGAGCCGAGGTTAAAAATCATTTTCAAATAAGTTTAACTAATATATCGCGTTTTAAACCGTTCAAGTGTTTTATTTAAATAGGAATATTATTTAATTGTTTGAAAGAAACGGGCTGGGCTACTGTGGCTTACTGTGACTCTCTAAGTTATACGAAATGCCTATTAAGAGACTAAAAAACTCGTACCAACCTAATTTCTTACAAAATCATGTTAAAGTTAGTAGCAAAATTTAAATATCGTTGCTTCAATGACGTGAGAATTTAATTTATATGATACAAATTATAATTCTTACGTACTGTTTTCATCCTGAACTTCATAAAACTTTTTACGAAGACATTAAATGAGTATAAATAATACATACAATTTTACGCGTAACGCGGTCGGACGAACGGTCGTAAATGTTTGATTACCAAAAAATATAATGTAGGTACTGTACTTATACATGACTTGTATTAAAATCATTGAAAGTTATCTTTTAAGAGCTTACAATGAGTTCAATATGTAATAAAACATATTTTGCACTACTTGTAACGATGTAGTAATACCTAATACGCTTTTTACAACAAGCTGTTTCAGCGACTTCGTCTGCGTAGAATAGTTAATTTGGGCGTCAAAATTTGTTATTTCAAATCTGCTCTTTATAAATTGTATCTGTTACCTATCTTGCCGTCGTTTTTGCTAGGTAATCCTAAAAGATAGACATATACTGGCGCGGACATTTTTTTAAGAACGTTTAAAGGGAAATCATTCTTTCATACATATTTTTTGGGTAGCTTGAACCGTTGTCGCAGAGAACACAACGGAAACCCACAAAGGTGAAAAAATTTGCCTAATATTTTACTCGACAAATTCTCCAATCAACACAAAAAGATTCTTTCAATTCGAACCAGTAGTTGCAGAGATTACCGCTTTCAACAAACAAACTCTTTAGCCTTATATATTAGTATAAAACCACAGCTTTAAAAAGTGTGCGACTGAATGACTCTAACACTATCATACAATAAATTTTCATAAGCTATCAAACTCACACCAGAGGAACGGCTTACTAGTGACGTCATAAATCTTAAGACGAAGCGTGACTTGTAACAGTAGTAACGTGCTTTGTAATTAACTAGTACTAATTAGAGCCGCTGTGTACGCCGTTTTACAGTGAAAGGTACACTGATGTTTGCCGAAGAAAATTGTGTAATTTTAATATTAATAAGCTACAACTGAGTTTTATTAAAAAAAAGCCTTTATATTCTGGTCTTTTTAGTGTTACATGATATGTTAATACAGCGAGACATAATCAACAAAACAACAGATTGAATGCCGTCCATATTGTTTTTACGACAGAGTAGGATAGACTATATTATATAAGTAGATGGTAGGAGAGAATTTGGCCATCAAACTGAAACTGAAGTGATCCTACTTGATAAAAGATCAAATGTTACATCCAGGATGCGTTGTTGAAACGTTTTTGCTTTGTGTTGCCAAACACAGTTTTTTAACTGGTCAGTGGTTCGTGCCCTGGGAGAAATTTTGAAGTTTAATTCAAAACCACATTACTTTAAGTCCATCGAGCTAGATTACAGGCCTTTCCAGGTATGATATACTAGCTGTGTTCGTCGGCGTAATACTTAGTTATTTTGGCCTTCCAAATTTTTTTTGCATACTTCCTGTTCAACTCTATAAATTTAATTCTTAATTTTTTTAGATCATTTATCGATATGTTATCTTTTATCGTTTTCGCAGCGCACACATCGGAAACCCACAAAGATGATTTTTTTTTTCGTTTTTTTTTTCACATTTTCCGCTGATGCACACACCTTGATGTTTTATAGACTAATAATAATCAAATTTTGCTCGATAAATACTCTAACCAACACAAAAATACTTTTCAGCTGTGTAATATTATAATTAGTATAGATTGTGTTAGTTTAAGTAATATTTACATAAGACTTAATCAGGGTGGAAGGTCCGTCTGCACGTCCGCGAACGGATATTAAAGTGCAAAGTTAATTTGTGAAGGTGCCACTTCATTTTCGCTCGTCCGGAAGCTTCAAATTCTATCAAAAACCGGCTTTAACCTTGAAATCTATTTTTAGCATTAAAATAGATATAAATAGTATAGACAATGTTAATAAATAAAGTTGGCGTTGAGAGGGTAGAACCGATGGAAGTTCGATACTGTTTAAATAATAATTAAACAGAATCAATTTAACGCGTTAAAAATGTTAAATATCGTATATAGTTTACACGAGTAGTAGACATTTAAATAAAACAGTTTAAAACGCAAAATATATTACATAAGTAAATATTTAATAATAATGTAACATATTTACATAAATTATATAAACTTGGTTAAACGTTATTTCAACTACGGCCCGACGTTTCGAATGATATGCAGCAACCCTGGTCACGGGAGAGGTGGTGCAAAGCAAAGTGTTTAAAGTGTTTCATTGAAATGTAAGTAGTTAAAATATATTGCACACTGTCTCCTTTTTTCTTCATCCACCAGTGTATATAAATAAACTCGAACGCCTAGCGCCATCTATTTGCCACCACATAAAAGTAAAACGGCCATAAATAATGGGATATTTAGCGTTGAGAATGTACCTACGCGTGCCTACACGTCCTCTTATAAATAGACCATTTATGGATTTTGCCTCCGACATCGTCTCTTAAGAAAGGCGCCTCGATAAATAAATGAAATGTTACTTGAAATAAGGAAACTTTAACGATTTAAAACGAGAAAATATATATATACATAACTAATACGTTGTGGTCCCCGGGACCAAAGCCTGCTGCAAGCGTCCAAAACGTTGTTACGTAGTTAAAATAAATAAAAAACAAAATAGTTTGCGTTTTAAACCATTAGAACTGTTTTATTTACCTTCTATACCTAAAAAAGAACTCTAATTAAGATAAATGGACATCCAAGAATTAATTGCTATAATTTGCTGATGTAAAGCGATATTGTAGATAATTTTTTAAAATGTATAATGTATACCCATATTAAAGACCTATATATTTTGTTCCAGGTTGCAATGACCACCGGAATAGACCGGGACACGATAAGAGCGGCTTACGAAGATGTGCGTTCGGATGGATCACCCACAGAATGGTTAGCGCAGATCATTACAGAGAATTCTGTTTTACATTCTCGAAAATGTGTGAAATTGGATACACGCGACTCTTTAAAAAGCAAAATATATCAGTTAAACCTACTTACAAAGTATTTTCAACTACAGCCCAGGTTTCGGATAATACTTGCAGCCGTGGTCACGGGGAGACGACTAAGTAAAAAACTATATGTATATCGCGTTTAAATGTCGTTTACGTAGTAAATGGCGCGGAACCCTTGCACGCGTTCAACTCACACTTGACCATAAGTTACGATAGGATTAAAATTAGGTCAATCAAAGACGAAGTAGCTAATTTCAGTACAAACAGGGCATTGAATAGGAATTAATGAGTGAATCAATAATGTTGGCATGCCACAGACGGACGTTCCTACAAAGATTAAAGCTAATTCCGACTATCAATGTCTTGTTTTCGCTAAGTTAAATAGACTATGTCTAACGAATGTCACTTATGTAGAGTCGGGTATAAAAATTCATGTGATCTATATATTACCAGGAATCAACGTGACACTTGAACAAACCGGTCTTTGGTTCGAATTTCTGGGACAAAGTAAATCGTTTCGATCGAACATAAGTCCAAGTTAAATTTGCTTTCCTTTTAATCTATCGGTAAGCCGAAAACAATACGAGACAAAAAAATATTTAGCCCCATCATATCCCACAATGTCAAACAACACGGATATTGCATATTATTTGTCTCGGGCTGTTCCATTGAGCAGAAGAGGTTCTCGACGTTTCGCCATCACGTGTGGACGGCATCTTCAGGAGATGTTGACCCCCCCATTACTCGAAGAATTGAGCAATCGAGGAGTCAGTCCGTCCATGGCCAACAGCCCGAAAGACAATAATCTGCTCATCGGCGGCCGAGAAAGCCCTCCTCCATTTACCACATATTGGAATATGAGATTTCAAAAAAATGTAAAATTATTTATATTAATTACACTTTTGAATTAACACTTAACGGTTTAAAACGAAAAATATATTTATTTATTTATTTACTATTTATTTTAACTACGGCTGGAGGTTTTAGATGCTTTGCAGTATTTTATTTCGCTTATTTAATATATACTTAGTTGGTAATATCTATACAAATTTATAATTTAGTTTAAAAGCGCCGTAGTGCGATGTGAAATCTCATTATTTGTATGCTCTCATTAAGTTGATTAATTATACATTTGTAATCGTTAACGCGGAACAAAGTCGGGTACCATTAGATGGCCACTGATCGACTTAATTATTATAATGCTCGTAAATAAAATTATCGTGAACAAGCCGTGAAACAACTTGAGCGGTATAATCGCACATCAAAGGAAGATACCGAACTCAAACAACTAGTACAAGTGGTAATGATATTAAAAACCAACACTACTTAAAAGAAAATCAACTATTGTTTGTAGCTTACTATAGCATTTTATGTAACACTAGCTAACTTTAATATTCTTATTATTCATTCATTTTCACCACCGCTGCTGCAAAGCATCCGAAACTTCGAGATGAAGTTAAAATGAATTGAAAATACTTTAAAATATTACTCGTTTAAAACTGTTAAAATACTTTTATGGAAAATGAAAAAAAAAAACCTATTTATTTTTTTGCGTCTTGGACATCTATATTTCTGTATTTCATTTGGCTAGAGCCCAACCGAAGTAGTACTCTTATTCTTAACCCGCCTGATTTTTTTTTTTTTCCGGCTACCCTTATTTAGCTTATGTTTTTTTAAATGTTTGCCCTGTAGGACTACCATATAAGAGTAAATAAAAGTTAATCTTAATACAAGTTATCAAGTACCTATTTCGTAATTTCAGGGCAGTATTCAAATTCGAGGGAGCGCGGATAATCTGTTCCGCGCGAGGTAGCGATTTCTCAGAGTTCCGAACACACTTCGCTGATGACGAGCGAGCATTTGGATACCTCAGGTGGGGGATACTTAATTGTTCCGTACTTATTTTATTTCTTTCTTTTGATCGTGGTCGTGGGGGCTATATTTTTATAAAGATTAGGAGGCAGTTTGCAAAAACAAACATACAAACCCACACAACACCCAAAATAACTTAGAGGACGAAGTCGCTGGCACTGCTAGTTAATAATATAAAGAGACATAAAACAGGTAATATACTGTCTTGTCGAACTAGTGTCGGAATAGTTATAATATCTATTGAATTGAAATGTCTACTTTTAAATGTGTATAAGATTTGGGCATAAACTTGACATTGTGTAAGGTTTTTATTCAACAAAGAATATAATATAGTAATATTTTGTCAACTTCCTAACATAGTTTTTCTCATGATAGGATGCAAATGGGCGACGAAATGTCGAAACGCAAGAAGTTCTTGTTCGTCACGTGGGTGGGTCCGAACGTGTCTGTCATTAACCGCGCCAAGATGTCCACAGATAAAGCAATCATCAAAGATATTATATCGGTAAGTATGGGATATATCATATAATATAGTCGTACCACAGATGGTATATTTAATAAATCGAATCAAATCAAAAATCATTTATTCTAGGTAATACTTACACACTTATAATCGACAATACAGTTATAAATAAATACAGTAAAACTATTCCATTTGTTGAATTTTAAAAAGCTTACATTTGGGCACAAAATTGTTGGATCACACCACAGTAGAATCCAGGGTGGAAACAAGATTTTCCTTCTTAGCATTATATCTATTTGACAAGCTCAGTTTTCATAAAAGAACCTACTAGGGACACAGGTACATTTTGGCCAAACAACGCAGGTTATTTCTACATTGTATTATGGGTTAGCTTGCTATTCTGATGACTATAAAATTTACAACAGCTGTAATACTAAATGACACTGCTTTAAAAAATGTATGTTTATAAAATAAAGATTGGTTGTATCAAATCAAAAATGACTCAAACTAGTTTATCAAAACCGATAATTCATAAAAGCAATTAACGTGTTTCCTGTTATTAAAATCATGTTATTATCTTTACTAAGAATTACTTTGTATACAAAAGAGTAATAAAAAGTCAATAGTTTATAATAGTTAAATAAATAATTAAAGAGGTGATGTTAAATAAAATCATATAAATATTTCCTGACATTGAAACTGACAGTTTGGGCAATAGCTGAAATAAAATCATAACCAACAATGCATTTATACTTTGATGAGTCCAAATCTATTTCCTTGTTACCTGCAATTAGCTTTAACTCTACAAGAGTAGCGATTTGCACCATCAAGTTGCTTGTAAGGCCAATTTTCTCCTCCAAAATAGCATAGAATATTGCCAATAGACGATCTAGTGTAAAGACTTTGGGTCCGAGTTGCGTATTCAACTTTTCAGTTACTTTTGCCTTTGCCCGAACTTGTTGCAATCTTTTCCTCTGTTTTCCATGATTCTTCATGAACAGCCTTTTATCCTCTTTGGGTGGGTTGTAGCTGGCTAAGTAAGCAGCTATAAGTAGAAATTTGGCATAATATGGCAACTCAAAACTCTGTGCAAATGTCTTTGTAGACATTAATTCCTCCTTCAAAGTAGTTTCACTGTTAAAATCTATATGGTTTTCCTTACCAGGGGATTGTATGGATTTCTGAGTGCTCATTCTAAGATACAGCAGCTCTAGGCTTGTTTTTAATATTGGGGCAATGTGCCGCCATAATTTTGAGAGATCGCTGGCATTGATTTCATTCCTAATGATTGGCTCGCAGTATTTCACAAAATTTACTTTCGCCATATGCCGCAATTCAATCAGATCGCGACACGGTCGGTAGAACACGCTCAAGAATGCATTGAGAAAGTTTGCAAACAACTCTGGCTTATCAAGTTCTAGTTCAATATCATTGTCTACTTCATAGGTGCTTTTAATGTGACAAACAAATGATTTGTGGTGCAAGAATATTATCTTAAATAACTCCTCTTTATTGTAATTAGGGAAATATAGCTTGATGGGATCGCGAACCCCCATTTTGAAGTAGAAATTGTCGTAAACGAGATGAGTTATAAAAATTGTACACACGTTTAGTTTGCACAATTCGCGTAGCCGTAGAAACGCGCTTATTATGCTGTGGTCCATAGACCGTAATCTCTCAGCTCTGTCAAACACTATAACGACTGGATTATATTTAATTTTTTCCGATAGATAATTTAAATTGTTAATTAAATCTGAAAGCGAATCGCATTTGACAGCAAATTCTTCCCCTCCTAATTCAGTTATGATTTCTTCGAACATAATCTTGGCTGTGTAACATTCAATGCAGTCAATAACAACCGATTGGAAATGTAAAATATCCAAAATGTTGTTTACACACAAAGTTTTACCGGTCGCCATGCTTCCGCTTATAAATACCGAAGGCGGTAATGGTTCTTCTCGGTCGCCAAGAAGGTCGAATAGGTCGGTTAACTGGCTGTCTCTGCATGGCACTCTATTTAATAAATCTTCCATTTTAAATGTATATATTTATTGCCGAGACCATAACTTGTATTTCGTGTGTTAGATACATTGTCTTTCAAACTCTCAGCTGACAGAAGCAGAACCCTTTTGTATGTCGAATGTCAATGTCAAATATGTCGAATGCCCTCTGTCAAATTGTTTCGAATTCCATTACCTGTATTTTGCTTACATTCTCTTATATACCAACTTTTTGGTCAGTTCACCTATCTTTCACCACAAATGTTACTGATAGATGGCATACTTTTAAACTTACTTTTCAGTGACTTCAATTTTTTGCTCCAGGACTTGCCCAAAAAGTTTAAAAGTTACAAGATAACAATGCTTCCCTAATCCTGAAAACCTACCTACTACTGAAAGTATTTTCCACTATAGATAACATATAAATAAGATATTTTTAAAATTAGAAAATCTTTTAAATAGATTTGATAGATCTACCAATTTATCATTTTACATTGTACCTTGATATATACATATATCTACTAATTTCCTAAAATTTGGGTGGGCAACATTGATTACCATGGATCGATATAGGGCTATTACACAAAACAGAAAAATTAAAAAATATAACAATAACTAATACAACACAATAGTGTTTACTATATGCAATAAACAATGTACGGTCAAATAATACTAGTATATAAAAAAAAAAAAAATCACGATTTTTTTTTTCTATTTTCAGAACTTTGCCGTGGAACTGCAACTAGAAAGCCAATCTGAAATTGACATAGATCAATTCAAGGAAGCTTTAAACAGAGCCGGGGGCGCGAACTATGGAACTGGAGTCAGGGACTTATGAATACATTAAATCCGCCTAGACTTAACTACAATCGCATGACTGAAATTATTTGGACGATATACACTTTTTTGTAATTTTACAGTATTGTTAGATATGACCTTGCATAAAATTAGGTTGTGGTTTATTTTTAAAGGCCAAAAATCACTAGTTTACGTTGTATAGGACTTTTCCGATAGTTACATCGAGCCGTAGTTGAAAGAACTATTAAATTAAGAAGTGTGATTTTTATCTATTCTACAAATCAAAATTGTGACAGCAATATTAAATTTAATTTATTTTTATCACGATGGATATTTAAGTTATTTTCTTAAAAATTTGATGATTATTTTTTTATTTATATTAAATATAATCGATTATAAACATTAGTATAACGTGAGTTTCGAACACGTATAAAAATGTTGCCATGCGTAAGGCATAAATGCATTTATATTTTGTAATGTCATATTGAAGTCAAAATTTTAAGACTTAGGACTCGAGGCATTAATGCTTTTTTACTGACTGCAGTATCCGATTTTTATTGACTGGCAAATAAAAGTACCCGAATAATAAGGACTTTTATTTAATTCACATAAGTGTCTAATGGTTGGAGGTTCTTAATAAAACATTTGTTAAACTTCTAATGATTTATTTGCTTAGGGCTACATGATAATTATAGAATAACATAATTTGGCTCTATCGAACACAGTTTATTTATTGTTGGTTTATTGCTAGTTGTTTCTATCTAGCGTGCTATGTGCATGGACACAAAATTCAACAGAAGTAAATATATAATAATATTTCAGATTCTAGATATTGGTGTGATTAATATTAATTAACTATCATAATATCTATAATTGTATAGCTCTTTTCCCATTTCATGGCGGTGCAAACCGACAGGGAAAAGAGATAAAGAAAGATATTAACTTTCTTTTTTTGCTTTATTTAAATTGTTGTCGACTATTATTATAAAAAAAATACAGTCTGCCAAGCAACAGGATCTTACATAGCTTCAATCCTCATGTAATCATATTAATTCATATATATTCTGACTGTATAAATAAATGTTTTTGGCTTTGCAATTTCTTAAAAGCCGCCCAAATCTCGAGAACTAAAACACTATTTGCTTCATGAAATTGTCTGTAGATAATTCTCTAGCTCTAAACAAGGCGAAACAATATCGTTACCAAATGTGACATAAGGAAATTACGCACTATAATGATGACAGTATGTTTGTTGAGCAAATATTTGCATCAGCAACTTTAAAAGACTGTGCTGTTCAAATTTCATTGATGTATGAACTTGGGTCGGCATACTAACCACACTTTAAGAAGGAATTTTGGAAATTTGTTTTCCTCTCATGTCACATTCAGTAAGACAGTGAATAATAACTATCTATATGACATTCGTATAAAATGTATTACGCTAGCGGTGTTTAATTAATTATCGCTTAGTGGTTGTAAAGTTCAATGAGGTATGTTAGTACTTCTTGGTTACTGGTATAATGTACTTTTGATACAGGATACTAAGGAACTAAGATTATTTGTTTTATTAGTACTTTATGTTAACCAGTTTCTAAATTTGTTAATATTCCTGGCAATGCATCTATGATTATAAAGAATATGAAGTAAAAAGTATAAATAAATTTTACTAAAATATCATTATTTATAAAACTTCAATACAAATCTGAGGATTTCTTCTAATTATCTTATTCTGATAACAACAACATAAAATACTCAATCTCTCTGCGCGAAATGTTCTATAAAAGATTTTATAAAAGTTTCACCCCATTTGTAGCCTTCCAAGCAATATTATTTTGCAAAAAATGCTGATTTCAACCCTCAGATACGTAAGAAAGAAATAATGTAGTGCAAAAAGCATAAAAAAAGTAAATATAAAATACAAATAAATGCTTAATCTAATCTTAACACCTATGACACTGGATTATGAAGGCGTTGTACTTCTCAACACTGTCTCTCTCACTCTTACGTATGATTCTGTATGAGCGGAAGAGTGAGACAGTAAGCAGTTAGTGTTTTTATCTAAGTATATAACAATATACAGTGACAGCATGTTGATAAGCACATTTTAGAGGGTGGTGATAGAACATAATACAATGCTATCATAACAAAAATTGACATAAACGAAAATGAAATTGTAACCCAAAGATATTCTTCGTAGTTGTATATTGTTAATAATGATGTAATAATTAGGATATATAAAGTGTGGTTTCTGCTTGTCTAAGTGGCGGGTAACTCCCAGAAACCGATAAAACCGCTGACTAACCGGTATTCTTAGCGCAAAGGGCTGAGCGCCTTCAAAAGACGACTGTTGGTATGTTTGCCGAATAAAACGGTCAGGAGGGACACTCCATAGCCAGTAGCGCGCTCGCCCTGAAATTGTTGAATAATACAACGTATTAACATTATAAGTCGTATTTTGAGAAGAGCTGTCAAATTACCCTTTTGTGGGTAGGAGGAATATCAAATTACCTTTCAGTTTATAAATGAATAGCTATAGGAATAGGTAAATCAGCGTCCACAGAATAAAAACGCCGGGAAATTGAAGCTTTGGTTTTAATCTGTGGATTTTCAAATATTCCAAGCCATAGCCGAGTGAACCCCGTGTTTGTCATAAACTCATTTCTAAACCTAATTTTGCAGTTAGATTCCTAAAATTCAATTTAAAAATGTATACTCACGCAATGTGCTGGCGCAGCCATGTCCACGTGTAGCCAATTTCCGGGAAAGTCGAAGCCGAGATGAGCCAAAATAAACAAACCTGCGCAAGAGGGCTGCGCGTTGTTGCGATCCTATAAAAACAAGTGAATGGTATTTAAGCATAGAAACAAAATCACACGTTAAAATGGCTACATAACAACAATATAAGCGAAGAATAAGTGAAAATGCGAAAAATTATCATCTTTGAAGGTTTCCATTTCGTAAGCTGCTAAAGTGGTCGAAAAAATATGTATAAAAGAATAATTTCTCTTTAAATTACCTAAAGATGAGAGGGTTTCCAAAAACAAATTTTGATACCTAATATAACTCTATGTGGACATTAGTAGCATTTACACAATTTCTTTAAATAGTAAGGATCGAATTCAGGACTAATTATTACCGCAACACTATTCTTCATATCGGCGACGTGACTGCAAAACTCGGTGAAGTGCAACTCGGGCGCGAAGGGCAGCGCGTGCGCAAGGTCGCCGGATCTGAACCCGGCGGCGACACAGGCGCTCTCGAGCGGCGCCTTATTCGATATTATGGCCGCGTGATACTTTCCGGTCGCTGTACCCTGAATTTACACAAAGAAACATGTTTAAATTTAAGTTGTGTGGAAAATTTACTTGGTGTTATTTTTGATACACAGAATATAAATTCCCGGGGCCCGCGATGCATAAGTTTTGGAGTTATGTATGTATATAAAAAAGTACACATTTTATTATTCGTCTTAAGACGTTTTTATCCGGCCATACTATTTCATTGTCAAGATTGCACAAGCCGTTTGTCTAAATAAATGGTTAATTTTATAGTTCGCGTTAAATAGTAATAAAGGTAGTTGAAATTATTGTACAACCTGAGCTCCGGTCAGCGTCGCAACGTCCACAATGGTATCGGCTTTCAAATCTCGTCTTGCGTACACCACCCCGTCACTCAACACCAGCCGACCTTAAATTTCAAATTGAAACCATTTAAATGATGGTGTTTTAATTAATTTTCAAATATTTACTAATTTTAGATGACAAATAGTATGACTGTTCCTACAAATAAAAATATAACTGCAATAGTAGTAATATCGTGAGATAGTTCAATATTAAACATAAATATTGATACAATTCATAAAAATAGTTTGATTACCTTCTGCATCCGTATTGTTGATTTCCACAGTGCGCCCAGAGTACAGTTGGTGAATATCATCAGGCCTGATGAAAATATTGATAGAATTATTTAAACGTTTTATAAAAAAGGTAAGATTTTATCATCAAGAATTATTTTCCCACCTAGTTGCATTAGGCCCGACAGAGTTTTCAGCTATGCACAGCACAGCATGAACGTTGATAGTGGGTTTGGCCCGGACCATGGCTGAAAAGGCGCCCAGCACCGCAGCCGCACCACCACAATCACCTTTCATACCCACCATGGAGGTCTACCAGAAGAATTTCAAAGATAATATAAATATTACATACGTACATTATGTGACTGCAGCTGACCACAAGTTAGTGTTTATTTAAATGTGTACTACTCGCGTAAACTAATGACAGTATTTAAAAATTCTTTATTCTATATATCATTAAACTCACTCTCGCCTTAATACTGAGGCCTCCGGTGTCATACACAATACCCTTTCCCACCCAGGCAACAGTCTCAGTAGCCCCTGGAGCCATATAGGAGAGGGAGACTAAAGCTGGTGGCTTGGTAGATGCCTTTCCTACCCCGTAGATACCTCCCATACCGCGTTCAGCGAGCTGTTCACCTCTTATCACTGTAGGCTCAGCGATATCAAGATTTTTGGCTACCTTACATGCCTCCTGAAAGGTGTTTCAAATTTTTTACATGAAAGTATATTTCTTTTTCAATGCTTAATAAGCGAAACTTAAAAATAATAACTGTAACCAAGAAATATTTTTAATTGATTTACCTCAATAAATGCATCAACATCCATAATATTAGCTGGAGTATCAGTGATCTTAGCCGCAAGTCGCACAGAATCAGCAATGTCCTGTATTGTGCTCAGTTCATCATTGGACAAAGTACCATCTGTCAGTGCTGGCTCATTAAGTGCTTCATCATCCGAGTCACCCTCTAAAAATAGTAAGCTAGAATTAATGTTCTGATATAATGTTGGCTTATCCACAGATAAGCATTCTTACTACAAATTGTCTATTTATGTTTAATTGAACTATTTGTTTTAAATTTTTATTTGCATTAGCACAAATAATAGTAAATACACTCTTACCATTATTAACTATGAATATTTCCACTATAACAGCACTATTTGCTGGTGGGGTAGGTGCTGTGGAAGCATTGAGCGGTGCTGGACCAGAACGAGCTGAGTAGAGTGGAATAGATCGGGCGATGGCAACAGCACTAGCTAGGACATCTCTCTTGCGACATACCAACTGCCAATAAATATTGTTTACATTATAGAATATTTCTAAATCCTATAAAATAGTATTGAATTTTATATGCTCACCACAATATACTCCTCAGCAGTGGACCTTAAAGCAGATTTAACTATCTTTGACAGCGCATGATTTCTGGAGGGAGCAGTGTGCCTGGATCGGCGCGGGGGTAACAGACCCAATGCTGCTCCTTTAGGCCATAATTCAGACACATCCCCTGGTGATGTCACAGAAAGACCTCTACGCCATACCTTATATAAAATATTTGTCTTATTTATATACAATTCTACTCTTGGTTGAGTACTACAATAGTAAGACCATAAAGGAATGCAAAATAAGTACTAATTATATTTGATGCAGTGGATGTGAGATTTATCAGAAATAATGTTTGATAATTAGCAAATGCAAAGTTTAACGAAGAATATGACTTAACAGTAATTGATGTGTGGTTGTTAACACAATAAGTGTTATTAAAAAAACTGCATACCTCCTCTGTAACTCGGGGCTCTAGTTTGCACCGAATATCTTGCCATGACAGTGCAGACAAGTGGGCCGGTTGTCCCACAAACAAAACTGGGGTTTGTTCAGGCTCAGATGCACTGAGACCCCAACGGAATTTAATAGAAGTTCCAGACATTTTGCAAACTAGAAAAATTATACGGTAATAAATATTTACGTTATCTAAATAACTATCACGATAAGGACACAAAAGATTAGAGAAAGCAATAAAAATGAAGTACCTAATGTATAATATCAATTTGAATAAAGGTATACTCGAGGTTATTACTGATATAGTTTTATAACCTCGTTAAAAGTGCAAACATAGCTTTATAATTATCATGAATTGAGGACAAGTCGTTCACCTTGTACGTGGAATGTTGAGCGCCACATCTTAAAACTTAATAAGCTCCTTAATAAAACCATTTTTGATAATTACATAACTTAAAATATAGGTAAAAAAAACAATTCTACGCTATATTCAACAGCCGCTTTCGTTCAAACTTACCTACAGGAATGCCAGAAACGTTTATCTTTATACCTTATAGTCAGTCACATATAAACTAAAAGAAAAACACAAAAACGCCTATAAATTAAGAAATTATATTGTAATATTGATAAACAAAAGATTTGTAATGTAAAACTATGAAACGTTTTGTCAAATCATTCTTTGCATTATTTGTGAATTTTTGCTTCGTAATTTTGGTGCAGTTTAATACAGAAGCCGCAATCGATACGATATAGTAGCCGATAGGTACAATCGATTACCCAAACATTAATTTAATAATTTCAAGAATATTTGACAAACCTGAGCAAAAAAAAAATAACTCTACAATATTTTACAAAAGCAAAATTTACTTAAGATCAACAATATGTTTAAATTAAAATAGTAATATACATATTTCCCACATATTTGTCCTATTTTAAAAGTATCGATAGCTGCAACTCATAGATTAGGATAATAAATATAGACTGCAACTCCTTGACAATTGACTTATGACTATATGAATGGAGAACAAAAGACCTAGTGCCACAGATAATGTACTTTAAATTAGTTTAAAAAAAAGTTTTTAGGCATAGATAACATGTTCTGACAGACTGTCGTAATCGATTAGTTCCGAAAAGGCGAATCCGAATCCAAACATACAATTAAGTAGGTCAATTAAAGTTACCCACCACTGCGCAAGTGCTCAGTGGTGGGTACCAGATAACGACCGTTGGTTTTAATTTTAAGTTAACTAATAATATCTACGTTAACGGACACCAATTCTTTGAATACCTAATATTTTATGAATACATAAAAAGAATAATTACTGGTTATGAAATTAGTGAAAGTCACTTCTGTAATTATGTAATCCTTTAATAATTTCTTACTCAATAATAATAAAAAATATTGATTAACAAAAAGTCGAAAGCGGCGTGGTAACTTCTATATTATCACTTACAGATCAAGAAGCGGTTAATCATCTCAAGCCAAAATCCGTACCCATGTTGTCTCTCACTTAAAATAATTTATTTACTTAGCTATTTTTTTGATAACAGGGATATAAAAGTATACACAATTTTAAGCAAAACGCGTATAAAATTTAATAGCGTCCCTCTGAGTTAATTAAAAGAAACTTAGCGGTATTAGATTTAATGTACTGTATCTACCTAAAAATTAGACGTATGGTACGGACTCTGTGTTTAAAGCCAAATATTCAACTGTAGATGATTTTAAACTGCACTTAAACATATAACAAATTTAGAATTTCAATTACAACAAGATTACCTATAGTTTATTGAATTATGTATGAAAACAAACATAATATTTTGTAAGTAAAAAGGCATTCGTCCCCTTTCTATCAGATGTTATTTGGTATAAGAAAGAAAGAGACGAAAATATATCTACAACAAAAATTCGACCAAATTACAATGTAGCTAGTCCAGACTTGAAAACTATTGCTTATATTGAATTTTAAAGGCACTTAAACATTTCTATAACGAAATTAGGATTGCGTTACGAATTTCTGTGAGAATTGTCTCATCTAATTTTAGGTACTAAAGTCTAGAACGAAATCAGAGATAAAAATATTAAGATTTGAAGTGGAAAATTAAGTATGAGCTTTAAACAATGTCGAAGGTTTTTTATAAAAGAAATATTTTGTTACAACACTCGGTGTATTGTCGTCGTTAAACTGCGTCATTGGAATTTTCTCAAAACAGAATATTAAAATTTCTTTTCTAAGAACGTATATGAAATAACTATTTATACAAAAACTTATCGATTGTCTTGACTCTTGATCAATCCGTGCCTTTTGATTTTATATATCGGCTTACACTAACACAGTTTTAAAATTTTATAACTCGAATAACAGAGTAATACATCTGACCAGTAACGTTACACCTATCCTACACTCACTAGCCACAATTTCACATGTTTTCGACTAACATTAAAATAGTGTTTTTATACTTAAACAGCTTTACTGTATAGCTCGGTTTCTTTAGGGGAAAACGTTTACTGAAAATAGACTTTTAACTCTCCACTTAAGGGGGATAGCGCGATAGAATATACAAAGAAAATCTTGTTGTTGTCTCAAATGAATTAAGGAGTAATTTGAAAATGATAGTATCTTTCATACATATGCACATGATGGCATTATAGAAATGAAAAATCTATTTAGATTGAAAAAAAAAACGCCACGGTATGAAAATTAGGATAGAGAAGCAGGTTCCTCGTGGCGTAGAGTAATAAAACCTATTTTTTAACAAATGACAAAACATTTAACAGGTTTCAAAGAGAGCCCGTGTTTACGAAATGTAACGGTCCCTTCTCGGAGATTTTTTAAAACAAAATCAGACATTGACAGCCTAAATCTTAATCAATGTCAACATTTCCCGGTAAAATCGGACTAACAGGTAAAAAAACGTATACGCGTAAATAATAAACCCCTTTGTATACTAAGCCTATCTTAATGGAACAACACCTAATTAAGGCCTAACACGACATTTTTGACATAATAGCTTACATTTTACCGTGTCTTTGTAAAGTGCTTGAGGTAAGGTCTGTAAGTCAATTCCATTAAAATCAGTAACTTATTGTTTAATATTTGAAACATCTAAAATAGTTGCGTTAGACCTCAATCCCTCTTAAGATTAAGTGTCTTAATCGATTACATTAATAATTTATTGTTTATTAATTGATTTCGAGTTAATATTTAACAACAACAACGACTAAACACGAAAACACTTTATTGTCATTTTAAGTGACAGTAAGTTTACGGCCTTTAACGTCTGTGGTCATTTAGCATAGATTATAAATTATGTAATTGGCCACAGACGTTAGATGCGCCGTTGAAAGCGTGCAATATATTCTTAAATACGTACTTTACTTTCGTACCATTATTTCAGCATTGCTTCTATTATACGCGAGTACTACACAAACAAAATGAAATAAAACACTTTTAACGATATACTATAAGTTATTTAAAATACGACCCGACGTTTTGTCGTCACAACCGTCGTGGTGAGCTACCACCAGCGGGGGCACAGTCCCGCCCCGTGACCATGGCTGGTGCAAAGCATCCCAAACGACGGGCCGTAGTTAAAATCAATTGTAATTACGTTTACTAATAATGACGTATTTCGCGTTTGAAAGCATAATTTCAGTTAAGGTAAAAATCTTTTAAATTAGTTAAGGGTTATCATATCATCTTTATTCAAATTACATCTGTATTCCGTAGCTAAACACCGGACCAGATGCAATTGTTACAAACACATACTTAGGACAATAACTTAACCTTAAAATATGGTAGTCTTGTAAAATACGGATTCAAAAATACCTTAAAATTACATCTAAATCAACAACCAAAAACCCGTAAAATGAAACAAAAGTTTTTAATCATTAAACAATTCTATACAGAACTAGTAATACGTTATGTCTTTTAAAGGCAAGATATAATGTTACTGCGTGCTGCGAGTCATTTATAACTAGAATGTTGCCATGTTAAACAATATCACAATAATTTAAAAACATCACGGAATCGTAATACTTGCGTTTACAAAAGAAAATAACATAAAAACACAATATACAAGTACGTACCGTATTTATAAAAAAAAAACCCAAATTCATAATTCATTTCATTTAACCGTTGATTTTACAAGAAGTAAAAATGTTTATTATAAGATTTTTAAACAGGTTTTTTAATTCATTAAATAACAAAAATAATACTATACATTCAATTAATATCAATATTTACGTCTGTATTTTAAAAGCGACGTACAAATTGTACAACTACCCTCTCTACGAATATTTAGTATGCCTTATAGTTAACTCTCTCTCCAAGGAATATAATAAGAGTGAAAGAAGATCGTGCTATCTCGCTCTTAATGTGCGATTACGATACATAAGAGCGAGATAACAATAACGTTTACGTTAGCCACAGACTGACATAGCTCCAGAAATAATAAAATATATTTAGTTATATATTATTAATCATTTTTATTAACAGTATTCATAAATACAATAATTACACATTGGGCACATCCCATTAACATTAAAAATAAATAATATACGATGAGGACATATTAATCTCACTTGTTTGTGCGATTCAAAGTATGTATTAAGAAAATTTTGCTAGGACGAAATAATGAAAAAAATTATTAGTCAGTCTGTAGCTTGACAATAGTAACTCTAAGTATCATAGTAGAATAAGCTGGAAGCGACAAGCGGACACAACCTCTAGCAGAGCACTTCGCGCTGCGGTATGCACTGAAAAAGTTGAATAAAATTTGTGTTTTTAGACTGATTAAATAGAATTTTCAGTCAGTCAAATTTCGTACGAGGCAAAGATCGATTAAGTATATAATAAGATTTGATGAGCTCTATGGTCCGACGGATTGATTCACATGTTTCAAAAATATTTTTATAACAGACTTCGTCAGTAACAAACTTTCGGGTCACTAAATACGGTGGCCAGTGGAATATCATGTTGAGACTAATCGCGTTATGGTGTTGATTTCTCGATGTTATATGACTAGGGTATTTCAACTTTGTTCTCTGTCATTTACAAAATTGCAGGTGAGATTTAAACCACGCCCACGTATCGGCATGAAATATGTACTTAAAGTACGCGAAGACTGTGAGATAAAAGGAGTGGCGGCGAGTTTCTGCCAGTTCTCGTTCATTCCGCCCATGATTTGAGAACTGGTAAATATAAAATTAGAGTCTTTTGCTTTTAACTGGTGTGACGTTCATAGTAACTAATTATCTACGGAATGAATGATTTTTGACTTTAATATAAACAAAGAAATATCATTACATAGAGAAAGAGATGCGGTCACCAGAGCCGGGGCGTGGCCAGATGCGGGAACCCATCTGCCTCCGCCTTCCAGTACTCGCCGCCGTACACCCAAGTTTCTTCGCCGTCGTTCATCGATTTCCTGAAACACCATATTACATACATTATTAAAGTACACAAGTACTTTTGAAAATTCATTCATTAATGTTATCAAAAACTTAACATGTCATATACCAACACTTTCCTACGATGTGATATAAGAAAAAATGATATTTCAGTAGACTTTCTTAGGTATTGGAGTTTTAATTTAGTCACTTTTAACGGTTTGAAAGAAGAAATATATTAGTTACTTTATTCTTAATTTAATTTACTACGTGCCCACGTTTCGGATACTTTGCAGCAACCGCAGTCACGGGGAGACTAAAGATGGAAGGTGTCTCTAATGTCACAGTATCAAATTGCTTCGTTGGTTTTACGACCCAGATAAAACACAAACAACTTAATTTTGTACAGGATCGCAGGTAATAGTTACAGACTACATAAGCTAAGACGTCTGTACATTTGTTAGGAAGACACGAAAAGGCTTCAAAACAGGCTCGGATCACTGGGCTCAACAACTTTTAAGACTGAAAAGACAACTACATACCGGAACCAGGCAGGCAAGTGGTCCGGCCTATCTCGTCTCCTCTCTCGTTGGGACTGTTCTAATTCGTGCTTGAATTGCTCTGCTGAGTCCACATCACCTTCTTCTAGGGCTCGCTGATCAGGCCTGAATATAAATTTAAAGAATTTGAATGATGATAACAGGTGATCTTTTGCCATCATAGGTTATTTTTGATAGAGGAGGACATACAGAATGAGGTACGCTTGGTACTAGCCATATAACATCTACACAAGATGCGCTGTCGACCCATTTAGTAGACGAAGTCCAACATATATTAGCAAAAATATAAATTGATTACAAATATGTTGGATCTCACCTGAACCGCGTGTCTGTGTGTGGAAGGATGTCCTTCAAGCCCGGTTCCATCTCGTTGAGCTCCATCGCGAATCGAGTGAACCCGTAGTACAGTTCAAAGTCTGGTGGCATGGTGCCTGGAAGAAGAGACAGTAAGATGGCTTATGGTCCATCGATGACAACTTTTAATCATTGCTATAGGTAAAAAATAAGATGTCACTCTGAGTACAGTCCCAGGCTAATACAGAGATAAAAAACATGGCACGTTTAAATACTGTCTATAGTTTACGCGAGTAGTACACATTTAAATAAAACACTTTAACGGTTTTAAAATGTTTTATTTAAAGTTAATTTTATCGCGTTTTAAACTGTTAAAGTGTTTTATTTAAATGGGATGTTTAAGTTTTAAAAAGAACCACGGTAACATATCTTTCAGCAAAAATACTTTTTCCCGCTTGTGGCCTAAAATGGGCTAACGAAAAATATATTAGTGTGGAGCAGGTTTGGTCAAGAGAATGGAAAATACGTACTGTAAGATACAAAGCTACAGAAATTGAACGATTTTACGAATTCAGCGATTTTAAGACAGGTTCGAATTGAAACATTATTTGTGTTGAGGAAGGCTATAGGCTACAAAACGCGATGCGACTACAACGCGAACGCTAGGCTATCAGTAAGTTCAGTTGTAATAGAATAATTCCCTTGTAGACTCACCAGGTCTCCAGAGACACCTGGCAGCTGGTGGTTCTCCAGCATAGAGCGCTTCCGACCAGCGTCCGTGGAGACGTAGCTGTGTCGACTGCTTCGAGGACACCGCGCCTCGGACCTCGTGGCGAGTGCTGGACCATGAGCTGGCCTAAAGTGTATATAACAATCAGTATTTAAAAATTATATTTAACGACACGGGCGGCATTTGAACCTGCATCCACAGGGTTCCGTGCTGTTGCTCTAACCAATTGAGCTACCATGCCTTACACGTCGTCGTCGAATTATTTTCAACCTATTGATACATAAACCAGGTCCCTTCTGACCAAGGGAGGGGGGACCCCGTCATTAGCTTTTAAATAATTTAGTCCTTAGCAGTTTAAACACTATGGACAAAATTATAAAAAAAATCTACTGATTCATGCACCTCTCGCACAATGTAATTTCAATTTATAATCGATTTTTAATGTATATAGTGCCATCATGTGAAAATTATAGATATTTTTATAAATTGTTCAAATTGACCGTCTCTGTAGACAAATTGTAAAAATTGTTTAGACTAGGCCATACCATAGTGTGCGTGCGCATTCATATTAGGGTAAATTAGTTTGGATTAGACTATAATGGTTAATCCTATAGTGTTTAGTAAGAACTAGCTTAATCTGAACAAAAACAGTTTATCCTGAAATTTGTTTGGCCGGTGACATCCTGAATAAAAGATTTTCAATCTGATTTTATATTACCTTCACAAAATGTAACTTGCAACTGATATCGGATCCTTGTCGGGTTATCAGCATGTCCCCGTACTGGTCTACCCAGCGCTGCCCACCGAAAAGGTTGTGAACGCACGTCGTCACCTGAAACATTAAAAAAATCTTTAACATAAGGGGCTATTCTAAAGCAAGCAACCTCCCCCCCTAAGTATGAGTCATTATTGTCTGTTCAAACGCGAAATATATATTACTACTTACAGCCAGACGTTTCGGATGCAGCACTCGTAGTCCCTCCCCCCGTAACTTGAAAATTTATTGTGCAAGAGAGATTTTTATCGGTTTTAGTAATAAAAAAAAGCTTATATGGCTCAAGTATTTCACTTGTTCGTCCTCTTCTGTCGAAATAAATGAATCTAGGATACATACCTTATTCCAAGTGTAATGGTCTCCGGTGGCTAGAAGGATGAGGTGGACCCTCCCGGCCGGCTGGAACTCCATGGACTTGCCCCAGAATTTGGTCTTTATCCTCGCCTCTTGCCAGAACACCCACCTGTTGGACACTGCGTGACACGCGGATATCGGCGGATGGTGAGAGACCTGTTTTGACAAACATATACAGGCTGTTTCAAGATATACGAATTAAAAGTACATACTGTAACATCTCAGGTACATATTTGATAGGTCGTTTAATTTAGCAAAATTAGTATTGTTTTGTTCAAGACATTTAAACCAGATATTGTAAAAACAAGAATAAATAAGAACTATAGAACAATTTACTATTTTTCTTATTTCGTCGGTTCTCCGCTGTCGGACGAACACATTTTTGTATATTTACTTATTTTTTTTAGGCAAGTCTTTGATCGAAAGAATCTTCAAACTGTATATTATTTATTGTAAAATGATACATTCTGAAGATTCTTGAAGCTTAAGAAAGTGTTAAAATTGATCACTCTTCTGTGATCTACCCGACCGAATCATTACGCCGAGATTCGATCTCAAGACTTCTCGCGTTTGACGCTAAGCAGTGTTATTTTTAGGTAGAAATGAAATTGGTCGATTGAGGGGGCGGTAGGAATATCAAAATTTCGCCCAGGTCAGTGTGTGGATTTCCGAATATCCAAAAAGCTCATCTTTTAGATGGGTATTTCACTTCCCATCAACAACATGCAAATCTGTTCTCCTCTATCATTATAAAAAATGGAGTAAACGTCTACCTGTTCAGCCAGGAACTTGAAACCCTTGTCTTCTCTAACGCATTCGTAAGTTTCCCCGAGCAAAGGGTTAAATGGCTTGCTCGCAGCACGGTGCGCGCTGGCTGCGTACGCGCTGACAGCGAACGCGGCTACTAACGCCATCCGGTTCACTGGGTCCTCGCAAATGGACGCTGAGTCCAGCAGCTCAGAGTATTCCAACTCCTCGCAAAGACGCTGAAAAAAAAAAAATTCTCACTTTAGTAAAATCAAACTATTACTTTTTCTCCATTTGTTTAAAGTATTGCGTGTAGTTGTCATATACACATTGAACCAACTTTTAGTTCGAAACGCAGTTAAATTATTTCATAAATGCTACCCGTGACCACGACTGCTAAAAAGCATCCGAAACGTCGGGCCGTAGTTGAAAATATATTCTTAATAAGTTAACTAATATATTTCGAGCATTTTGTTTCGCTGCTGTGCAGTATCGGAAAGCAGTATATTAGTATAGATCTCGGTTGCTCTTACGAAATCATAATACTATTTTCAAAAAATCTAAATTTAATATAACAGAGAAAGTGTTACGGACAACGCCATCTATGTGTTGATTAAAAACTATGATTACTTAGCCCCCTTGTCTCACAAAATGAATTGTATCATGATTTTTTTTAGTTAAATTACGCACTATTAAATTTTAAGCATTAATGAAAAAGTACAAAGGGCAGTGAAGATAAACAAAAAACTCACTTGAAGCATATTTAGCGGCTCGTTGATGGTAACAGGCATTGAGATCTGACTAAGGTCCTTCCCTATGTTCTTGTAAAGCAAATTCCAGAGGGACGGTCCCCCGGGGGTGGGACGGGGCGCGGGGAGGACGCGTCTCCTCGTCCACTGCTCCGAACCGTTCTCGGTGGGACCGCTAACCTGTTCAACTGCTACCACTGAAAGGGTGATTATTATTGTTACAAATTAGTAGGCTTTATTATTATAAACAAAGAGGGGTTCGATCCGGTCGAATATGTGTTTAATTTTACAAGTTTTCTTATATACATTGGATTTGTCAGGAAAACTTAATAAATGGGGGTAGAAATATCGTAAAATTTATTTCAATCTAATAGATTTTTAAGCAGATTTAAGTTTTCAAATACTCACTGGCAGCTTCGCTGTTGTCCGAACTAGCTGAACCCTCCTCACTGCTTAGGGAACCCGCCTCAGATGAAGAATCACCGTCCAGCTCTATCACACCAGTCTGAAATTGAGGCGCTGGTATCATTCTAGGTGATGAATGTACCTCGTCTTTTTGTTTGATGTGAAAGCAAGATTAACAAAATATCATACTTCAGTTACGGGGATATAAAAATCTTTATATTCAAGAGGGTAAGCAATTGCAAGGTGCAACAACCATGCCCTATAAAATCTAAACAAGATGCACGTAGCTGAAAATAAGTTGACAGCTTATTTCTGACTTAGGTCGTATAGAATTTGGATATCACTAGGACTTATTCAATATCCAGATTTACGAGACAAAGGTGCTAGTTTGATAACCAAGATTTCACTTCAAAAATGCAGCCTGTATATTTTACTAAGAGGACATACCTCATCAGCATTAATAAGGTTGTTATTCTCTTTGACTTCGCCGTTGTCATACTCCTCAGCATCAAAGAACTCCGACGCCGAGACACAAGACGAACTGTAGCTAAGCGAATGTTTGAATTGGTGATTCTGGAATGCAAAGATTTTTTATTTATATTACATACAAGTTGTATGTATTATAAATTAAAAATCGATTATATATGTGCAATAAAATGTAAAAATGTTTTCAATTGTATTGGATAAATTATTCAGAATCTTACCATAACAAAGAACTTCAAATAACTTAAGAATTACTTGAGATGAAAACAAATTGTCGTTGACTGTTGAACTTGTAGGGACATCATAAGTATGGATAGAACTTACGTGATCCGAGTTGGCGCCCATTGAAGAGATCTCGGCTAGATCGGAGGCGTCGTGTATGCGCGAGAGTCGAGACCGGAGCTCTGCACGATACACTTTACACGTCATTACTATTGCACTCGAACGGAAGTTCAAACTATTATTCGGCTCGAAGGACCATACATGTGTTTTAAAGAAGAATATAACGAAACTTTACGCCTTATATTGTGCATTATATAAGAGAATGTTTAAGTAAGTTGCCTCTGTTTATTACTGTTGGCACTATGTTCGAAACCTGTGTTTATTGTGAATAAAACGGAACTATACTAATTTTTTGTATAGTTCTATTTACTATATTTTTACTGATTATTAATTTGTGAACAATATCCCATAAACTTTGTAATATCAGCTCATTTTATGAATATCATTAAAAACAGATTCTCACCAGAATTCTGTTGAAGGGCCGTGGAGAGGTTCGTTCTGAGTGCGGCCACTACCCCACTGGGTGGCGTCGCGCTGTCTGCTGTCTCCATGGCGGTGCGAAGACGTCCTCGTTCGCACACCTATAAATAGTATTATGACAATTAGTCACATAGGCAGGATAAAAGCTTGCATTTTATTGATTTTTTAAATTCTGCATTTATAAATAACTTTACTTATCCTAGTGTACATTGATGGCTTATTCTACGTTAACAACAAATAATAAATACTTAAAAATATATAAAGTAAATAATACAAATATGTGTTCACAGCAGAAAATAACTGAAATTCTTAACAATATTATAATAGTAACTGTTAGGAGGTAGATTACTATTTTATCAAATTGTGTTACAATATTTTAAACAGTAAACAAAAAGTGGATACAATGAGCAAACAATTACGCAAATAGATAAGAGTACGTAGACACTTGCATCTTTTAAAATTATTCAAGACTGTTTCGAAAGACAAAATTGAAAATTTCTTTGGCGTAGTTTACATGGTTAGTTGAAGTAAAACATTATTTGCCTTACGTGACCATCCGTAACGTAGCGCCGTAGTTATAAATTGTAAATAATTTTAAGTGTTATTTAATTGTATACTATTCGCGTAAACTACAGACATTACACAGTAAGGTTACATTTCCGAAATTTCAGATATAGATTTTTATTATTCTTCAAAATTAATAAAATGACATGTCTTCAAAGTATTTATTTGGGAATTAGAAATTAATGTCGAAAGAAGAAGTCCTTTTATCTATGCGTAATTCGTCCTGAATTTTGTTATTTCGTATTTTCAAACATTTTTCGTTTTAGTATACATTGAACAATCATCGAGAACTAGAAAAACAGAAGAGATTTTTGTACGTAAATACAATTTTTTTTATAAATTGTATTTCCTATTTGTTGTTTTTTAGCTTACCAAAGTGGCGACGATGCTCTTCAAGCTCGTCACGAGGTCCTTGGCGAGGACAGTGAAGTCTTCTCGAAGCTGGTGATCAGGTGTGAGGCTCGTGAGACTAGCCGGGGCCGCACTGAGCACCTCTGCCCCAGGAAGGGATTGCGGTCTCGTGGCTGCACATGCTGTAACGTGAAACGGGGTTAACCAAGTGGTATATTGACCGAACGATTGTTTATAGTGTACTTTTTATACTGTCAAACAAATTAAAAAAGAAATACTTTAGTTGCAAAATACATCTGACTAAATAACACCGTTGTATGCAATTTGAACTGGCACGCTTGCTACGTAGGTTTTTCTAAGATTTAAATAAATAAAAACTAAGTAATTTGAGATTTGGATTGATTTCCTTAATATTATCGGTTAAATTGTTATTTTCAAAATAACTATTATTAATCTAATGTCTAATTTCTGGGTCAAGGATAAAAACAAAAACTCAGCTTAATTATAACAAGTAATATATGAATATTGTCTATTTTACAATAATAATAATGCATATTTCTTGGACATAGATATATACGTTTTACATAATACTAAACTAAGGCGATGTACTGAATGCATGCGCATGCACCGATGACGAATAAGTACCTAAAAATCTACCTCAGAAAATAATTACTCACTCTCTCGGTTTTCCCGTAACCATTTCAAAACGTACGTAAGCACTATTCTTCCGTAGGGCACAAGAACACCACCACTGTCACTCGACATTTTAATCAGCAAATTTAAACCTTATGACGTGTAAATTAAAGCTCAAATCACATCTAAACTCAATGCAAATGAAGACGATACTAATTTTTCCGATGACTGTATTAATTCGTGGGTTAAACTGCATTCGAAATTGTTCTCTATGTTGACGTAACAAGGATTAATCAATGCCGTAGAGATAATCAAATTCGTCTTATCAGATAACCCGGAAGCTGGACGAAGATTAGCTTTGAAGGTCATTGTACTTGACAATGGAGACGTTTAATAGTATGGGTGTAGTACTAAATTTTATTGAACATACATTTTCTTTTCTCAAAAAGATTTTTTAAAGACCTTATACCCATGCGAATGACACATGAATGAAGAAAATAAAAAGAAAAGAAATAAACCTTACGAACTAAAGTGGACGCGAAGAACGTAGTAAGAAACGCTGGAAGGTAAATAGAAAATAAACATTAAAATCAGAAAAATGGGCCATTTTGCAGTCACTACTTCTTTTCTACGTCAATACTGTCGTTTTAATATTCTCATGCATTTATATAATTAATTACCAAGCTTGAATGTTTGCAACAAAAAGGTTCATGAAGCCATTATCGTAATGTCATTTAGTGACAATAAAACTGACACTACGCAGAAAGTTATTTAATTACAGGATCGTAGGTAAGACCACTAAAGGGCCGCTCCGCCACAGAAGTAGGTAGCCAGAAATAAGAATAGACCTTTTAAGACCTTCTAGACGGTATTTATTTTTAGCTACGTCTTATCGTTTCAGAGGCTTTGCAGTAGCCGTGACCTGTGACCTGATCGTAATTAAACACAGTTCAGATCCGGCTCGAAGGATCACTGAGAAGGAATGGCAAACCTCTTCTATTCCTTGTTGTATAATATTTATTTATTCTCAATAAATACTTTAATTTATCAATAACTAAGGATGCCGCTAGTACAGTCTTTTATTAAGATTGTTTATATGTCCTACGTCTATATTTAAAAAAATCAATGCCATGCCCGGGTAACAGATAAAAAACTACGCCATCTAGCGTGGGACTAACGCGATTCTGTCACCTACTCACCCATTTCATACAATCCTTAATACCGGCACAATTCCAAAACATCAAGTCTACAATTAAAACAAACAAGTCTAAGATGTACATTTAATAGAAGATAAATAAACGACACGAAACTTGCACTATTAATTGTCAAGAACTAATCGGATTCATTGTGCTCGCTACAACCATTTCAAACAGCTAGAAAACAAACATACAAGTTAGCATAGTGAAACACTCGAAAACGTTTTACGAAAGTAACTTTTTCTAAGACGAAGAAATTACTCTCATCGCACGATTTACTCGGCGTAATAAAAATCTAGCATTCATTAAAAGAAAGAAAGATTTGTTTGTAGTTTATGTGTACACATTTTTTTTTTACAAGTTTTAGTTAAAGTTTACAAATTATTTCAACTAGGGCCTGACGTTTCGGATGGTTTGCTTATATTTATAATTTGTAAAGTTTACCCAATACATTCGCGTTGCAAACCATTATGTGTTTCAATCAGAAATAAAGATGACGCCATGAGATTACAGTAATAATCTTGAAAAATTTATTTATATTTTAATATAAAAAAAAAAACAAAACTAAAAGCTTAAACAAAATAAAAACATTATTTAGATAGAAAAATCGGTCGGCATCATTTTTTTTTATATATAAGTAATCAAGTATTTTTTTCATCAAGTATTCCACCATACAAAGCAGCTACACACCGAGAGAGATAGGAATAACGAACAAATGTGTTAGACAGTATTTACCTATGGGTAGAGAAGCCGCAGAGTTGGGGACGGACGACGCACCGCCGCCGGGAGATGGCGGCGCTGTCAAGGTCGATAATGCCTGAAATAAACGCTTGAGCTTAACATTTGAAGAGCACAATTGTACAAGGGAAATTCAGTAGTGCTATACAACATTTAATAGGTTCCTTGTGGCATTAGATACTCTTCACATGCAGTACAATAGTTTTCAGGTTGCTTGGCTTGCCGAGGTACTGTAGTCCGTCGGGCATGTTTGGAGAGTTTTCCACGCCATTATCCGCAAGCGTATAGCTTCCCTCAAGTACAGAGTTCGGCAAAGCCCCGATGCCATTCTGAATGCATTGTGACAAGTAAAAAGTACTGCTAAAAGCCGTTAGCACCAATCCTATTTTTTTATTATTCTGGTGACTAATAGATACTAATATATGTCAAATGGGCAATTGTACAATGCGAAAAAATATAGCGTCAATAGTAATTAGAAATCAGAATTGATTTAAATCAAAATCAGAAAAAAAAACTTTTTTAAACATTTGTCACGTCACAAAACGGTTTTATTCGGATTGGTCGGTTTTACGACAACGTCACTTGCTTATAAACAGTCCTAAAACCACTGTTCTTCCTAGTGTTAAAACAGTTCTATTCTCTGCATTAATCGACTCATTTTATCACTTCAATCAGTGTTAAGAAGTAGATGTTTGGTACAAAATATGCATGTAGATCTTATAATCGACATACACCAATGGAAAATTAATTGTTGGAACTTAATTTGATATATTTCAGCAAATGTGTATGAGATTTCTAAAATACTACTTTTCTGGGGTTAGCAAATAATATAAAGTACATTTTAAACCTTTGTCAAACAGCCCCTTGTTACTAACCCCCATCATGAGATTAAAAAAAACTGAATCTGAAAAATTAATTTTTATTCTGTACTCACCATATGTGAGCTGCTGGGGTCAATGTGTGTCGGGTCAATAGTGGCGCTCTTGCTGTTTGACTTCTTCTTGCGTAAACCGAATTTGCGTCTATCCTTCTTGACGTTTGGCGACGCGCCGTCCATTGATACCTGCGTATTTTATACATCTCTCAAAACAGAAACGATAGCTTTCACGTATTAAATTTCTAAAAATATGTTTATATTTATCATTTTGTGTAAATAAAATTGAGTAAAAGCTTTAAGATAGATGAAGAAAGAAGCTGCGTGGGTTCTGTTTGGTAAAAGGTTCCAGCCATAAAATATCGAATTCAGTTGCGCTGTCGATCTATTTTGTCTTTGGTCATAGAGTAAAATGGTTTGCACTTCGTGGCTTTTCAATCTAGAGCGTCCAAACGCTGGATCAGTATGTGTTCTATCATAGTTATCAAAATAACATTAATAATAACTGTTCGGACAGAGGCGCATTTTATGTATATATAATATGAATACTTCGTAAATTAAAATAAAGAACTACTAAGCAAAAATCATAGTAACTTTTAAATTTATCCTTCGGGTCAAACGCACAAGTCACAACAAGTCGACTTCCACAACGGCAATCTTATTAATCTGCAAAAGTGAGGACTGAATGTAATCCCAAAGTATAGGCAAGATATAGACGGGAGGACTGGCAAGTATGGGGGTCCACTTGATGAGAGGTAAAATTCTTCAGCCACGTAACATCTCAACAAGATATACTGACAAACAATTTGGCTTTAAGAATTCCATAGTCTGTAATTCAGGGCTTCTTCATCTGTGGTCTATGGTTCGTGATCCGGACGGAATTTCGATTTTTCTATCACAGATATACAGATATTTCAGAAGAAATTAAAGGTGCTTCAGAAACGAATGATTTTAGAATGTAAAGGAATCAAACTCATGTTCAGTAGATGATACATTGCTACCACGGACTCACGATCCCTTTAACTTTGTAGTTCATTCAACTCACATCAGTATCATGGTGTGTCTGCTGATGCAAGTCCAACGCATCGAGCAGCCGCTGCAATTGCTGTACCGAGAGCTGCGCTTGGCCCAACTCGCGAGACACATTGTCCAGCGGACCACCTGATTCTGGAACCATACAATGATTTGTTTTACAAGTGTGTATCCATCAGACAATCAGCTTCAAAGAAAAGAAACGAGATGTAAGTAATGAAAAAGGCTAAATCCTATACAATTTAGTCCTATTTTCCTAGATTATATTATGTATAGTTTTTTCGGTGTGTCAAGTTATTGTAATGATTCGTGTTCGACATTGGTCTGAAGGATAAGCATAGCAGGGATTTGACATGCATTGTTTTTTAAAATCAGTAAATAAATTTCGTTTTCGTGGTGGTCTCCGTCGCATAAGATTTTCCACCGCAATGAAAACGAATCACACTGTATTCTAATAAATACTTTATTGTTTTTTTTTACCGGCACGTTATGGAAATATCCGATACTGTAAAATATAGACGGAAACCATCTTAGGAACCATTTATTTATTTACTCAATAGATATAAGAATAAATTTAGAATTTAGCTCCATACCTATGATCCAGCTGGCCAACCTGCCGCCGGGCGTGCCAGACACAAAGCCCGCCTGCGGGCCGCGCAACGGCCCAGAAGTGGGACTTACCAGCCCTAGGAGAGAAGGGGTACATCAGGAAATTACCAATGTCATAGCGTGAAACTGCTAATTGCCTCGGTTACTTGGGACATTGAGAACTATGTTACTATTATGCTACTACAATGCAAGTGTTGGTTCTATTTTACCAAGTCTCGTGTTGCTAGCAACTTATAAAACAGTACTCAGAATAAAAATTAATCTGAGTACTGGCAAGATCTTTGTCAGTACTTCTTGAAAATTTTACCTCTCTACCTCTAATAAAGTGCGTGGTTTGATAAATACAATAAATAAAACAGTATTTGTTGTTTAACCAATTTAACGTCTTGTTTAAATTGAACACTTTGACCGGTTTATTTTAAGTTAGGCCCGACGTTTCGAATGCTTTGCAGCAGATGTGGTCATAGAAAGACTGAAGATGAAGGGCATATCCTCTTGTGTCTAGCGTCACCTGCTTCGGCGTATTATTTAATTGTAGAAACTGGCGTCAACGACCCTGTCAATGGTTGCTGCAATGCGTCCGAAACGTGTTTTATTTAAAAGTGTACTACTCGCGAAAACTACAGACAAAACATTTTAGTTCTCAATGTCCCAGTAACATAGCGTTACAGGAAAACAACACAAATACGGGGTATACTTTCAACTATGTGTACTAACCATGCTATAGGATATATGAAATGGATAGTCACATATAAAAGGGGTTTTATTATGACTTTGATATAACATACTACAACACACAACTTTCTAATCCAACTAGAAGTGGCTAATGATGTTGACATAGCATTGAAATTGATGTATACATTTATTAAGTGTTTACTAAATACGACAAGCATTATGAAAGAGTTTAAAGCTTGTATTTTTGGTATGTATGTAGTTAAAGAGAGTTCGAAGTTTGCTTTTAGACTAGATAGTAAAAAAATAAAACTTTATGGATTATTAAATAATAACTAAAAATAGTAGAACCCTAATAATAATTAAATGAATACCTAGTGAATGTGTACTAGTCGTATAAGGGGCTAGATAAAAAAGGAGAGCTAATTATGTCTGTCTATTTGACGCATTATCGTTACTAAGTTTTTTTTCGTAACAACAGTTTGTCAACAACGATAGATCGAGTTATGGTCGCATGAGAAAGAAGGTATAGCTTTTTTAGCAGCAAACGTTTGCTGTTCTTTGTTTATTTATATGTTGCTAGATTAAATTTATTAGGAATAATAGGATTGGGAAAGAACTAACCGGAGGAAAAGCTTGGATCGCTGGAACACCTGTAAATGGTTTTCAAGTCGTATTTGCTGTCTTGGCTGCAGTTCAAGCCGGACACGCACTTGCTGTGTTTAAACCGGTTACTTAAGAACAACTGATACACTTTAAAGTCCTTCGTTCGAAGATATGGCAAATTGTTTTCCGTTTGAGAGGCTCTCGAGAGGCGCACCGTCGGCGTGAACAACGATATGTCCTTGAAGAAGTCTTGCTGCAGAGTCGTCAGTTTGTTCTTAGCCTTCTTCGGCGTCGAAAGTTCTGTCTTATTCTTCATCGGGCATTTCTTAGTTTTGAAAGTCTTTAAATTCGGCAAAGTCCTCTTACTTATCGCGTACTTTACTATCGTGTTGATACCGCAGTCCTTTGTTTGGCTGTACCACTCCTGGTACGAAATAGCCTTGTCCGATGTCGCAACGTCTTCAATACTCGTTTGACTGTGACTTGTTTGAGTGCTACTCGCATTGAACACGGATGCTAAATCCTTTTTCAGGAATATATCGTTTCGTACTTCAACTGTTTTATTGATGTCCAACTTCTCCTCCGTCTGCAGTTCGACGTTTATGAAATTCTTGATCAAAATGTGCGCAGCGCTCACCGCCTTGTCTTCGTTTTCTTTCTTAAACTCCTCACTCGTGTTCGTCATGATCTCTTTGAGGTATTCGTTACAAAGGCACATATCGTATTGTATCTCTTTATCTTCGACACTCTTCGCTCCATTCTCATTATATATTTTGCCTAAAAGGCTCAATCCCTGTATTTTGCTCGCGTTCAATATGTTTTTTTCGTGTTTCTTCTTCAGTTTTAAGTAGAAGTTGTTGATATCTTTGTGGATACTCGGTGTGTTTTTGGAGAGTGATGACAAATTCTCTAAAAGCAGCAAAATGAACTTTTCGTCTATAGCTCGCGGTTGTCTCTCGAACAATTCCATCTCTTCGGGATAGCTAGGCGATGAGCACGTTGGCATGTTCTCTGTTTGTGATGATTGTTTTTTAGATTGGAATGTTCCGGGTAAACCTTTCAATGAGAGTACATAACAAGACTGTGAATCATCGTATTCGGCAGTATTTATTAGTTCTGGACTGTTACGTGATCTATCTGTATGAGAATCTTCGCTCCGATTATGTACTCGTTGTGCTTTTGAAGTACCACCACTGCTGCTCGGTTCAGCGTTATATGCTATATTCTCCTTGGTGATTTCACGTTGAAAGTTTTCATCAGACTCTTTACTAACTTCAGTACTCGAATAAGGCTTTATTCCTATTGGATCGTCGGGACAACTCTCATTTTCCAAAAGCGGGACATTCACATTGTTGACTACGTTCCCTTTAAAATATTTCTCGGATTCTGAATTACTCTTCAGTGAAATAGGTGACCAAGGATCCTTAACCTGTCCTATTCTTTCTTTTCTACTAGGCAATTCATCAATAGGACTAGAAGTTTTAATATCTTTGTTTTCATATGGGCATATTTGTCCATACACATTTTTTGTACTGCACTGTTCATCTACTTTTACCACATCCCGAGCTATGCCACGTTTCAAATCATTTTCTCTGGAAAATATCGTTGTTATTTTATCTAAGACGTCTTTTAAATACATCTGTCCCGGATCTAGAGAGTTCTTTTCACGTATATTATCTTCGAAGAATTCTCTTGTCGTGATGGATTTGGATGCTTTCTTTTGAACACTCTCAGTTTGAACGTCACAAAGTGGTTGAATACTGACACTAGAGGCATCTTGTTGCGATGAACTCGTCTCAGAGATGCTATGACTACTATGAAGCAAATCTAGATAAACGTTGAGGAACTCTTTCGCTACAGAAGCAGGTATCGCTGTCTCACTTAACAAGTGGTTAATTGTATCCTGTATATTCGTTAATTCATTGGAGGAATTAGAATCATCACAAGGTAAGTTTTCGTTCGCCTTGATTAACTCGCCTTTCCTAGACAATTTTCCGATATTATCTATCAATCGTTTGGTGATTTTTATATCTTTCTCTTTATTTTGATTACTGCAAACGGTTTCACAGATATACACTGTGTTTTTAAGTATTCTTTCCAGCTTCTGAATCTGTCGTTCCTTATCGTCACAGAACTTAGTCAATTCTTTGTGCTTCTTTGGCTTCTTGCTTGTCTCTATGATCGGTTGGGGGATTTTTTGTTTTGTTTTCATTCCATAAAACTGAGTTTGCTTCGCGACACTTGCTATATGATAGCTTGAAATATTTTCGTCTTTAGTGAAGTGTCCGTTTGACTGCCTGTCCACTGATTTTACTCGCATTATCTCTTCCCGTATGCTGTCAACTGTTGTGTTTTTAAGCCAATATTCCAGTAAGGATCTAAACAGAATCTTTATAGGATGTACTTCAGCAGACGCGACTTTCATATCATATAATTCTTTGACTATTTGATTTATGTAGGTCTTAATGTTGCTATCGTTGGCTTTCAGAAGATGGCTATCTTGAATATTTTCAATAATGGACCTCATTAGCCGCTCAGTTATAAAATCATATTCGTACAAAGTCATCGCGTCTTGAAGAGATTTACTTTCTTTGCTATCGATTTCAATCTGCACTTCGATATGTTTCTTGCTCTCCTTTGCTTTTTCCGCATTTTTTATCGATTGAATATTTGTAAGTAAAATGCATTTTGTTAGTGGTTTCTTCAGCTTCGGCTCGTCGTACAAGTTCCTGTACTTGACGAGGTTAGTCGATTTGTTACTTCTCTTCATTCGAGACTCTTGACATTTGTGTTTGCGGTTGAAAAAGAAAAACGCCGGCGTCGCAGTTCTATCTTTATTCACTTCAGATTGAATGTCGATTTTGTACGGACTGTCAAATGGTAATTTCATTGGCGAATTTAAAGAATATTTGCATAATAATGTCGATTGTAACCTGAGAGATTTAGCGGTCAAATCTGTGCCACCGAGATGCTTTTCTGCATCCGTTGTCGAAGGAGATAAATTCCGCTTGTCTTTTATGTAGTCATTGCTTCTTATCGCAACGCAATTCATGGAACACAAGCTTTTGTGTTTCTTAAAATCACCAATTTTTAGGTCACAAGTACTGGACAGTAGTGTTTTATAATGTTTGGGAATGACTTTGATGTACGGTGACGTTTTTAAGGAGATCGGCGACACGGACACTGGACATAATGTGGATTGGAGGTGTGGATTCCATTTAGGGACTTCAATGGGAGATTTTTCGCTGCTCGTGGGTGAGGTACCTTTAGGAATAAGGAGGAAATAAGGAAAAAGGAATATCCTAAGTATTGAGTATTTCGTTTATTACTTCAATGTAATGCTCCCATTAGTAAATCTATTTCTTTCCTACACTGACAGTGCTACTATTTTTAAATCCATACTTACGGGAAGACGTATCAGTGGGAGGTAAATCTTCGAGCGGCGCATGAATTTTCGGTACCGACTCCCGCGCACCGAATGTCAATAAATGTTGTCGGTACAGTCTGTAATTGTAAGCGAACTTATATAACATAAATTAAAATGTATTTCATTAAGACAATATTAGCTACTTCAAAGGGTGTATAAGAAACAATCAAGCCAAAATCAGGCCCCGCATCTTGTTAAGGTGTTATATGGCTGCTTTCATCTCGAATTTTTCTCCTCTATTATTTAAAAATTCTGTTTCTTTTACAGAATAGTCTAATATAATTTTACCTATGCGCTTTTAAAACGTTAAGCCACGTCCTAAACACGTCCGGCGTCTTCGCCCTCAAGTGGTAGATGAATTCATCGGCATCTATATCGATGCGCCTGCGCCGCGCCTTAGCCGAAATGACAGAGAGCCCGACGTCCACCGAGCCGTGCAGACGCCCGCGGGCGACATCTGTCGGCGACCGGGCGTATACAAGTATACCGCCATCTACTACGAAGAAGCGCTGGAAATATATTTTTTACATATTACAAAAAGTTGGTATTCTTTTTCTGAAACAGAATTTAGCTTAGTAACAACCAACACAATTGGTTCAATCGTTTATTAGTCAACTTAAAACCTTTTTCTGATAAGATAGACAATCTGTGAAAACAGAGAAGGAATAAAGAAGAAAGAACTGTGAAGCAAGTTCATATATACACATATTTTTCGGGTTCTGTTTTTTTCCAAGCGAGTAAACCTAGAGTACCTTGTGCCACCCCTTCAGAGGCCATTTTCTCTTCTTATGCAGATACCCGTTGAACACTTCAGGCCTCTTGTCGAACCGCTGTCCATCCTTCAGACCCTCTAGAACCTCCCACTCGCTGCCTCTACGACGGCTGTAAAGTTAAATCTCAATTTAGATAAGTGTTCCTATACCAATCCACTTTTTTTTATAAATAATTAATAAAAAACTATACTACTATTATTATCTTCAATTCAACATAGAAGGTCGGGTGATCATCACATTATCTTTCATCTCGACAATTTCCATCTTTGGTCTTTCCAAACTTCCACAGGCCATAAAGTAACAAAAATTATTTCTCCAATTACTTTCAAACTAATTACTGCCCTTGGAAGTCTTGGTTCCATCCCACCATATTTTCATCGGCTCCTTTACGAGCGAGTTGATCTGCTCTTTCATTGCTATCATTTCATTAATGCATGAAGTTAGTCTCCAGTGTCTATACCGATGTTAATTTTATGTCACACTAAGGTGTTTGGTGGTATCCCTTGGTAGTACTTGACTTACCCTCTCGATTTTCCCGAGCGGGGAGGGGGCGGCAGCGGTCTCACGGACCGCTCGCCGCTATCCGCAGACAGTGAGGCCGTCTCTCCCGAGCAGTCAGAGTCTGAAGGAGCCCTGCGCAGGGCGGATGCTCTACCGGCGGCACCACGCCGTCTGTCTCCTGAAAACGTTGAATTACATTTGTAAGTTATTTATGCAGCGCTAGGAAAGTGTGTCAAAGACAGCGCTGTTTTTCTTACAGGATTTTACTCTACTATGTTTTTATGACAGAACCACACATAGCTTACACTTATCGACCGATTCGTTATCGTCCTACCTGTTTTATATCCAGTTGTTTCAGAAACATGTAGGACATTTTGGGAATCGAACCCACGATGATTGATTATGATTGTTAGCCATACATTGTTACTTTTGGACCAACAAGCGCGACAAAACCAACCCAGCCAATCCTCCACATTATAATTCTACAATGTCGCTTTTGCACGAGTTTTCGACAAGGCCAAGTCCTTGACAATAGCCAAATTTTAAAATTATAAATACACACACAAACAATAGCGGGACGCGCTTTGCATAATTAAGGCTCATGGACGCAGCCTACATTACGAGTTGCTTATTTTCTTGTAGCCATTCTGGAATATATAGTATGTTTTTCATACAACTAACTTACTTCCTTTTAAGTATAACAGTAGTTAATCTTTATCGTAGGAACCACTATTGTAAATAAACTGAAAAAAATACAACACGGCCGGGCCTTGAACCGACATTCCCAGATCCATTGAACTCTAACTTTTAAATTTCTTATCGACTTTACTTCTTATGTTTCAAAGTCGTCGAAAATACTCACGTTTGCTGTCAAGTCGCGTCGGCTCAGTGGCGACATGCTTGAGGCCGGCCTGGTTTGACATCTCCTTGTTACAAGGAAAGGTACGCAGCAACCATCTTAACTCTGAAATAAATCACAAATAATGTAAGCCGAGTTAATTCATCCTATTAGCTAGTACAATCAATTTGAAAACAGAATACCAATTCTTAATAGCGGATCAAGCCAAAAATGCCCTAATAATAAATTTTACCCCAAAATAATATTTTCACGAAATTAAAATAAATATCAAGCATGCCAAATTTTATGCTCAATAGGAATGCGGGGTACAATTATTTCATAATTCGTGTTTTACAGAATATAATTATTTCATCGAAGCTAATAAACATTTAGATATGTGATAACTGATAAGAGTTATCAATCAAATGAGTGTTTACGAGTAGGGCGAAAAATATAATACATTTATATAATTTGTCATTAATTGTTCGCTTGTGACAGGAAAGCGGCTGAACCAACAATTAGGCGTTTCTAACCGAAGTTTAACCGGATTCTGCGGTAAACAACCTTTAGTTTCGGTTAAGCGTTTGAAGCGAAATAATTTTATCTTTAGACTATAATTATATTAGTGTCCTATTCCACGTAGTATATTGTTTTGCTGGATTTAAATAGGTGGGATATATGGGCCAGTTTCCTAAGCACGTATGACCCTTCGTCAGAATAATTTAGGCACACGCGTGACAGGAATATCGAGAAATCCTTTCTGGTCAACTATTTATAGGACAAGATGTGTCGATGTCTACTACGGTTTATCAAACAGCCAATAAAACCTTTCTTGGCATTTTTGACATTCTTAGCGCAAACTCTATAACTATGTCATACCTATATACGATTAGGCTCGGTACCCTCCTCCACAAATATTATGTACATTGCTGTTTACAACGGTACACCATGCACTAATGCTAGTATTTTCTTTGATAAGGCGATTGGCGCATTAACTTAGGTATAGAATATAAATTTGAGACGTGCCTGACAAAACATAAAAGCAATATTTCTTAATCATAAAAAAATCTGGCAAAAATGCCGAATTACTCTATAATTAGCATCAATGACTCTTTAAATTTACTTCTACTATTTTGTTACAATGTAAATAAATTGAAAGCAAAGCCAGGTTCCCGACGAATGCAAGCCGTAGCCAAGTTCTTTGTGATTCACGCTTCGCTCTTTCTTGTCACAATCCGCGCTAGGCTCAGTGACCTAAATAGTTGTTCGTCGTTATCAGACCAGCTTGCTTAAGATTATTGCTACCTTCAATCGCAGTTGCACGATTAGCTCTTACCATCGGCCTGTCGAATCTTTGATCACACATTGGTACATACTTCCACACCAGCCTGCCTACTCTAGCCACAAGTATTATTTCTGTGGTGGCCAATTGGTGGTTTATAAAACTAATAGTATGCGTAACTTTCTTTAGCAATACACCTGCTTTAAAAATCACCTTGTATTAACGTTTTACGAGCTTTTGAATACACGATAAGCCGATTTTTGCTCGTTTTTGGCATTTGTGTTGGCTGTTTACTATTTATAGATACATACAATAATAAATTAACTTTGGTATATATTTCTGAGATTACATAGTTGAAAAGTGTATCATGTGTACCACTCGCTTAAAGTACAGAGCATAGTTACTTAATCTTGTATTATTTCAGTATGGTGCAGTACCGTATTATATGAAAATACTCTTGTTTTCTATGTATGTACCTTAAGCCAGATCTTGTAAAACTCTTGTATTAATTCAAAGTACGCGATTTACAATCCACGCGTCACTGTTAGAATCATTTTCATGTATACAGCATAATAAGCGGTTTTGCATCGTGAAAATAAAACCACTGTAAAAATAACGTCCGCTGTCGCGTCAGCGACATACTTTGGCTCAAACTGATTCAGCTGTTTCGATCTATTATAGAATAATAGTTGAATTATGTTATGTAGTGCACCTGCTCGAAGTCTTTGTAAGTTGAAATAAGGATTTATTAATGAGAGAGATGGAAAATGAAACACCCAAGTATTAAATATTGTAACAAGATATGACGTTAGCCTATTCCGGCCTGTACATTTCTACCATTCTACCAACGAGCCACCAATCTTAATATTAACAAGGTAATGCCCAAGATCACGAGGTGTATACTGTCATTGAGTTTAATTATTGAAAAAGTGGGCAACACCCTACCCATGTAGGTTGTTGGTTCGAGTCCCGCCTATTTTTAAGGGTTAAGAGTAATCTCGTGAACCTTATGACCTGTATATTCCGCTCGTACCGTGAAGTTTTCGAAAAATTTGACAGCAATTGAAAAATTGTACCGTTCTCATGCTAAGGGCTCCACCCACATCCTTTTTTGAATCGTATTTTGTTAAAATGGAAAGCGCCAAGTTAATACAGTAGAGCCTATATTTTGCCAAATAACCTCATTAAGATTATATCGTAATAACCGAACCGACTACAGTAATAGGCGTCGACATAACTGTTGTAATTAAACACACGTTACTATTAATTATAGGCCCAAAATCACAATTAACCTCCCTGCTCGCGAGAGCGGAAACATTTCTTGTTGAATTAAAACCTTATTATTTCATACAATAATAAATAATAATTGTACGATAAGTTTAATACTTAAAAACGTATCGAAACGTACGAAGACTGCGCGAGGTACCTACATAACAAGCATTTGCTCCGGTATTAAACGTAAAAATGATAAAATCCCACATGCTTCAAAAAATATTTTTCTCAATACTTCATGAAACAATGAAATTTTTGCGAATATTTATTCTTCAAACCCACCATTCCTTGAAGTAAAGCTGCTAGAGACAGAGTGACCTAATAACAAAAAAAACATGATATTCAATAAAAATGCGCAATCAACTTAGGCGAAAATGAATTTGTACTTTTATTTCTGTCTGAATTATGTTAACAATTTTCTCTTGTCGATTAACATTTTTAGACTATGAAAATATAAATAACGCAAGTTATAAAATTGCAGTTAGGCGACTTTGCCTCTAGCGGCCTCAAATATCCCAACCTCATGACGATGGCAAAAATTTGTCCCCTTTTTTGAAGAACATAACAATCGACTACTACTTAGATATCATCTAATAATAATACATACCAATCGTTAGAACTGACAAGGGATTTTTGGTCTTCATCTTTCCTCAACACACCGACAACAGATAACACGAGAACACTTAACCACGCGTCATCATTTATAAATACTTAGAAACGAAATATAAGCGTATAATTAAATTCAATAGTAAAACGATATTATTTCCGTAGTGTTGTGTTTAATTTTAGTTATTTAATTGGTACGAGACAAGCGACGTTAATACGAATACTGACATGTGGAGACTTAGCTACGATGCATTGTGATAACGTTATCAAAACAGATTATGGTGCGTATCTAATGAAAAGTTGTGGGAAATCCTTTCGGTATAATTTCAATTAATTATCTGAACTCCGCTTTTTGGCGATTAGGGCATTCGTATAAAAGAAGACTTTATTTGTGTTTGAAAATACATCATGAAATAATTTCACCAAAAATATTTAAGTATAAAAGTTCAAAGCGTTCTGTTATTTAGGAGAAAACGAATAAAATATTTTATAATTAAGCTATTTTAAATGATGCCCAGCATAATAAGACGATAGACAAAGGATAAACGTATAATGTAGGGCTACCACTGTAAAACAAAGTTAAAAGTAACATCTTACTTAAGTGAAAAACTGGTATCCCGATTCTGTAACAGTGATCACAACAAACTTAATGCCCCACATCCAACATAAGGGATACGGAACTATACTCCTACTTCACTTCCTATTTTGGACACCAAAGTACGCAACACAAGATCAATGGATTAGAAGCGCAATTAATAAACAAAATATTTCATCAAATCCTTTTGAAGTCTGTCACCTGAATGTGTATGTTTGTTTATTTTGTTGAGCATGAGGCGTACTGAATCATGGTGACCTAACGTATGATGTCATATTATCTATCGATACCGAGGTCGTCCGTTTATGACGTCACAAGTGTATTTCATTGAAAGAATTTGAAACCTTTTAAAATCTAATTGAATGTTACATTAGGGCTAAAATTAACAACGGTATTTCTAAATCATTGAAACAAAGAATAAATGTAATAAGTATAAGGAAGAATATAGGCTTTATCCATTTAATAATAAAAAACAAACAATGTGTAATTGAATTTGCTAAACAAGGCAACCTAACTTGAGGGGAACTTAAATATAATTTCTTGGTGTAATCTGAGTGATTTTTACTTATTCAATTTAAAAAATAAGGAATAATAATTCATAGAAATATTTAAAATACACTTTGTGTATGACCTTACTTCACACTCTAACCAAGTAACCTGGATACTTGAATTTAGGCATACTGCTAAATAGAGAAACATACACAGGAGTCACAAAACACCCTGCAGTTTCCATAACTACTTATTGTATTGGGGTTGGTAATCTTCAAATAATAGGAGCAGCCTAATGATGATAGGATATGTTGTGTATATTAAAAAAACTAAGCTATACCGCAGAATTATGGATGGCAGAAGAGATACTTTTATTAGCATTACAAGTACATAACACAATATTTTGCATAGTAATGGATGCGACACTGTCTTATTTTCCTCATATCATGTAAGCGACCTAGCCTCTACATTGTGATTAGAACTTAATAGTCTATTAAGTATGAAGGGATCATTAATTTTATTTATAGTTTAGTTAACAATAGGTTTTTTTTTCGTTTCTAAGTGATGAAATCAAAATCTTACTTTTATTATATTAGAAAAAACATGTTATTTTCAAGGCAGAAGAGACCAAGAGATTTTAATGGGAATAATATCAAGAGCATGTACAGTTGATATAAAACATGTATTTAAAATATTTAAGTCATGACAAATATTTAGACAACAGTAATGAGTACTATAACACTTAATTATGTATTACATATTATAAGAAATAACATAAATAATGTCCACTTTTACCCAGAGACAAATTAAAAAACAACCATGCCATGAAACAATATGTCATTTAGTTTTAAAGATGTCTTTTGAACTGTTGTTGGCGTTTGGTATGTACATAAAATTTTCACAGGCCTAGCAATCTTGACAGCATAGATAAGATATATTATCTTAATTTGACTTTGATAGGTAATATAAGTGTTTAAAATAAAGAAGTAATTAATACTTCTCAATAGTAATATATAGGAAAGTATTAGCAATGGATAATATTATGTAAAGAATAAGAATAATTATATTCTTACTTACTGCATGACTTCCTGATGATACAAGTTAGTTAAATTACAGTTAATGAATAAATAAAACATGACATCATACTCAAAGTAAAGATAAACTGCTACAATTTGTTTGGTAAGTCTATGCAGTGAATATTTAGGTAAACCTTCAAAAACCAGTTCCAACATCGTTCAGACGCAATAAGAACCACTATTAGTCGTAAATTAATAAAATTTAATCGCACATACGAAGAAAAAATCGTGTCGAAAGGCTGATCTCTTAGTAAATTATTCGTAACGACTAAGACTATTGCGTTATATTAATTGTCTTCCGCGCCAGATATTTGGCATGTTTAACAACAAAAAAAAATGTTTAATACTTACGTAAGACACTTTTAATAACAAAACAGATCTCAAATATTACAGACGGGTTGATCAGATACGATTCGACGATTTTCACTTAGAATTTATTATATATAAAGCGACACTGCGAATTTAAAAATATCACGGCAACACAACTATTTAAAACACTGGTTCGTAATTCATTTTCGTAATAAATTGATTTAATTTCGAAAGAAAAGCGCGAGAGTAAAGCACCATTTTGAAGGACTAGGAAAAATTGAAAGGCTGTCAAGGTTTTCCGCACAAATGTCAACTTTGCGTCAATGCGACATTTTACTTTTTTATAGATACTAATTATCTTAGTTCTCAGCAGTGAACATAGATGGCGCTTATTTAAAAAAATATTTAACACGTTTAATAACTACAAACTGAAAACGGAAAGAGATTTTAATGAAATTGTTAGTTTTATGTGCATATTTCAGTCTCATTTCCACCATTTACATCGCTAATACGTCTCCAAGCAGCAAATTCTGCCTTAACTCCATCCATACCCAAATAAAACGGGTAGCTCTTACTTGTAGACAGATAAAAAACGCCATGTTTGCTTTCATCTACCTCTAAACCCATTACATTAGTTACCAACGGAACTTTATCATAACACGATGAATCACGAGCTTCTTGAATCGTATCGCATTTGATTGCAATAAATTTTCTTGAATTCTTCATAGCCACCGCCCATAGAGTTAACACCCGAAAATGACTGCAGGTAGCCGTGCAAGGGAAGAAATTTAAGTCTGCGGGTTGATATTCCCCGCCGTTAACGTAAAAATCGATATGGCCCATCGGATTTGCCATTCCGTAGCCGTCAATATTGGTATGAACGACTTGGACAAAGTCTGCATTACTCCTGTCCAGTCTGTCCGTTGAATTTAAGAATCGGAAACATGGACCGGCTGGTTCCAAAGCTGTAATTCGGGAGATTTTCTTTCCAGTTAAAATGTAGTAGTGTTTGGCTATGTAGCTGACGGTTTGACCGCCTAGACTAAAACCTAGAAGTTCTAGTTTAGCTGGGTTTAAGCCAGATTGAGTTAAATTGGCTAGTATTTCAGCAACGTGTTTTCCGACGGGACGCATAAGGCGAGTAGCGCTGAAAATTAATGAATATAAATATATACAAGCAGGAACCAGCGACTGTATTGATAAAATATATGTATGTTAAATAAACAACTTGAATGGATTACTACTTTGTCAAAAGATATATTAGACATTGGTTGACTTATTGGCTGTGAAACATCTTTTTGGATTTACAATGTTCTTAAACAATAATCACTTACAGAAAGTAGTGTACCGTAGCAAATCTCTGGTTATCTATGAGTATCACGTTGTATCCTCTATAAATATATTCATTTGTCAATATCATTGATATTGGAAAATTAGTGCTGTCCAAATATCCGATCGCAACGACTAAGGTTTTTCTGTAAATATATTTAACGGTTTAATAAAACACTAAGTGGAAAACCGACCTCACATTACGTACCTCAGGTCAAGTATTCGCTAAATACTGTAATAAAAAATTACTTGTTTACCTTCTAAAATCTATTCTAGGATCCTTTGCAATGTTTTTAGCAGTCCAGTAAGTATACTTCTGCCTGCTGGTCTCCCCCTGGACTACAAAGTTAAGGTATTTGAGCTGACTCCTGGGTATTTTCGCAGCTTTGGTAGAACCTGGGCCTATAATAAAGTTGACATTCAATTTGTATTTAAAAATGTGATAAATTTATGATTATATTGTATTTCTAATTTAAAGCGCCTGCATTAAATGTGAAGCAATAGCGCCTGTATACATTTTAATGTTTAAAACTCAGAATTACGAGCACTAGTTTGGTTGTCTGCTGCGCAGCATCCAAAATGTTAAAAATAGGTTAACCAACATATTTCGCGTTTGTAACCGTTAAAATTGTTTTACTAAAGATGACTTTAAATTTCAAGTTGCATGTTGTAAGATGCATAAAAGTCTCTTCCCATTTAATTTCTCCTGTAGTTTGGGTTGCCTGGAAAAGATCGCTTTTATATAAATACATTTTGTAATCACTATACACAACAAACAAAACAAAAAGAAAATATAAAAGAGAAAATTCTCAACAAATATAATAAGTTAAGCGCATTGAGTAAGTCTCCATTATCATGTACTATTTAGATCTTACGAAAGAACCGGTCGTGATCGTAACGCGTCGCGACTATGTTGTTTTAATTATATGTATTTACCATCTAAACTGTGCAGCCAAAGCAGTAACTGTCCATTTAATCAAGTTAAAAGCAGACGGATCTCGTGAGCCTTTATTACGTACAGGTTGAAAAGTAAGTTAATATCGGCAAAAGTCACGTCGCATTATTATCATTCTTAATTTTTACGATGATGATAAAAAAGCCGTGAAGTTTAATCGGGTGCGGTGGATTCGGTTTCAAAACCAAAATACCATAACCATAAACACATTAACGGTTTAAAACTGCGATGTATACAACTTATTTGAAAATGATTTTGCCTTTATCTCCCCGTGGCCACGGCTGTTGCAAAGCATCCGAAACGTCGGGCCGAAGTTAAAAATCAATTCCAAATAAGTTTAACTAATATATCGCGTTTTAAACCGTTAAAGTGTTTTATTCAAAAATAGGTTGACACTGCATCTTTCTTATATGTTATCAGCTGTGTCAGCGACTTCGTCCTCGCAGAATAATTATTTTGGGCATCAAATTTGTTTTTGCAAACCTCCTGTTCAACCCTACAAATTTAAGCTTTCCAAGTTAACGTTAAAACTTAGAAATAGTGCCGAGAACATTTTTTAGATTACTTAAAGAGGAATAATTATTTTATATTTTTTTTAACCCTTAGCGCGGGAGCACAACACGCTCTTGACCGGTTTGTTCAGATAGTTTAACTATTAAACATAAGCATGGTCATGTAGTAATTTTGTGCACGGTTGCAACTCGAAACGGATATGAACTAGAGCTTCATTGCAAAAGCAATAATTATATCATATTACTTTATCGCTCTAAAACACGAAATGTTACACGAACTACTAGGTATACTTTTCTCATTAAATAAAACATTTTTAAACGCGAACTATATTAATTTTTAGTAGCGGCCCGAATGTGGGTGCTTAACATCATTTAGTCACAGAAGATATAACTACTTTGTTTTATCGTCGCATGAATACAGATACAACTTGATTTTTCGGTTTATTAGTCGTTGTTTGACTGCTTTTGCTACTTATTTTCTTTTTAGTTATCAAAAGCTCTACCCACAGACTGAATTCACTACTTAACTTAAAGTTAGAAGTTTAAATTTAAGAATAGTTATGAAGCGTCATAGAAATAAAATGGGTATTTAGGTATATAATTTAAATTTATACCTATAATATGTACCTACTTGGTTGTTGGTACTAACTACCTTATCTGTAGATGATGATATCCAGAGATGTATCAGAATAATTATAAATTGAGCAGAAATATGTAGGACCTGGCGGAGATCGAATCCAAGACCTCTGAATCCTTGGTTATACATGACTATCATTAGACTAACGAGCCCGGCAACATAAGAATAATCACATAGAAGTTTATATTGAATTGTAGAGTGAATGGGTTTTGGGTTTGACAAGTATTGACCCTTGCTCAGAAAAGAAGGCAAACACACGTACAATTAGTGCAACTCCAAGTAAACCAAAGGACATATAGTGCAGCTAGAGCAGGACACAGTGCTCAGTGAATCGGGTACACAAATATGTCTACCTTATGTTGATACAAAATAAAGTTAAATTATAAAAAGAAAAACATACATACTGACATCAGTCCTCTTGGATACCCAGTTTCAGCTCTCATATCACTTTCAACACAGATTAAAAATAAACACACTGCCAAAATCACATAACTCATTTTCATTCCATCATTAAAGTGTGTGTGGGTGTGTGCCAAACTATTGTATCCTTATTCAAAGACAATGACAATTCGTGAATATTTTTTAAATCTGCGGTTAGGTGCAAGGTTGGCGCGATAACATAGACAGGCGGTTGCGCAGCTGGCTGGTTATAAAGTGAGCTTTAAAAAGGTTTAGGCTATACGACCTTTGTGCTTAGTTGGTGATTATTTTGACACTTTAGAGCCTTTTAATTTTTCAAGTATTTAACTCTAACTTCTCGACGAGCTTTATTAATTAAAAACTAATTTAAAGGCCTCGTGGCTAAACTCGTATGACCTATATATACATATACTATAGCTCATCAAATACTGTCTGTCTGTAGCATCGTCTATTTGTTACTAATAAGTAAAAGATTTAAAAAAATTGAGATTTAGAATAATAAAAATTATCTGTGGCGACACGATAATGGAGTTAGAAAAACACAATAAAAAGATTCTTAGCCCAGCACAGATTGCTACAACTTATATTTTAATGAGCACACGTTTTCTAAGATGGTTGATAACATTTAAGAAACGTGCAGTATAAAATTATAACATTGTAAAGATAATATAAAGAACATAAATTACGAAAAGATAAGTGGTATGTCATGGCACTGTTACGTTAAATGGGCTTTCTTGTAATCTTTAAAATCGAAATAAGCGTTTTAGATGTTTTGCAACTTTCTGTAGTGGCGATTTTAAATGGTACTTTAAACAAAAGCCAATGGTAATTAATAAACTAAAAGCACGAAAGGAATATATTAGTAGCGTCTCTTACATTTAATAATAAATAATGATTTATTTAGTAATGAGTATATGAAACCGCGTGGTATATCTATTGTGTTATAAAGTGTCACTTAAATAAGTTTTTACTAATGTGCCTGTGGATCAAACATATCTTTTATTAAATACTGTCTATAGTTTACGCGAGTAGTACACATTTAAATAAATCAGGATGCTTTGCAGGAGACCACGGCTGCTGCAAAGCCGCTGCAAAGCATCCGAAACGTCGGGCCGAAATTAAAAATCATTTTCAAATAAGTTTAACTAATATATCGCGTTTTAAACCGTTAAAGTGTTTTATTTAAATATCTTTTATTTCATAACAAAATGGACCCGTGTTTACAAAAAAAAACTTAAATTCGTTCGTCAACTTAATTATCCAAAAAAATTACGTTAAAGTACATACTACAACAAATGTTCTAGCGACAATATTATATTGGTAGGATTTATACATAAATGAAATACACATTACATTAAACCTTTTTATTTTCGTACGTATTCCCAATTAACATCCAATGGCACGCTCACTTGACAGTCATCACAGTTTACTTTACAAGACTTCCCTTTGCATAGGCCTTCGCCCTTCCTCGGGTATTCTGGGGGAGAGTCCGGTGTGAACCAGGGCTTGTTAAGTTTGTCCAAATAGGCTTGTTCTAAGAGGCTTTGTTTCGGCGCCGACGCACAAAAGTTTAAGAAGCAAAATAGAAGCTGGAATTTGAGAAGAATTGAACATTAACTTAAGTGTATATTATAAAAATTTAGATAGTTATTAAAATAAAACAATTTGTCATCGGAGCTTAATCTTAGTAAAAGAGGAAAGTTTTAAATATTATAAACTATATTACTAGTAATAATAAATTAAACTTACGGCAATAATGATGAGTTTCATTGTCGTACTTTTATGGGATTATTTTTTTCTTTTAATACACGAACAAGTAAGAACTAAGGAATGTTTTGATTCAATATCTCATTGTCTCAAGCTTAAATACCGAAGTTATTGATACTTAGTACCGTAAGTGACCCAAATTAAGTTTAATTTTTGTTCATCGATTCGTAACTGTAAACTGTGTAGATTTTGCTAATGAATTCACATTTTATGTGTATTTTTCTTTAGTCTCAGTATAATACAACTACAGTCGGGTTTAAATTATTTTATTAAATTTATTTATCTGTAGGTACTTTAATGACTTTGGTTTTTGGAAATGGATTAAAAAAAACTACTTATTCAGTAGATCACTCGTAGTCTGCATTTGTAATCTAAAAAAAAACATGGAGTATGGATTATTTATGCATGTATTTAAATCAAAATGGGTCTAGAATAAAAAAAAATACACTAACATGTAAATCATTTTTATTTCTTATATATAGTACAGAATATTTACTTAATTCTTTTGTTTAGTGTACTCCTGAACACAAAGTATCCTAGTAATCTAACCGTTTACATTTATAAATCTAAGAGTGAAACAAAAAATATTCTTTAAAAAAAAAGATGAACACGAAACAATTAACAATATTTTGTATATATAATGGCACTTTTACAGTACAAAGGTTTTGGACTCTAAAATATCCATAACGTACAATCGTTATTACTCGCAAGGCTTAAATACCAAAGCTTCTATAAACAATATGGTCGGAATGTTTGACCTCATAAACCGTGCAGGTTCGATTTCCCGCAAGTCAAATTAGTTTCTAGAAAACGATTTATATTTTTTCTAAAACCTTCGTCCTTGTTAATGGTTTACGCGAGTAGTACAAATATAAATAAAATACAATTAACCGTTTAAACGCTTAATATACTACGTTACTTAATTTTAACTACGGCCCGACGTTTATGATGCTGTGCAGATCCTTACTTTGCACGAACCGTGACCCTTGATGACAAGTTGAAAGTAAGTCTTAAACTCTTCAAATAATTCTGGCCCCTAAATTCATCTCCTGAAACACCGTCCACAGATGGAAAAGCCGTGAATGGCCGTCTGTGGATTACCGAATGTGGCAAAGGAAAGGAAATTGATGGAAGGCAAAATTAATACGTAATTAATAAAGCTCATTCTTGCCTGTCTTCCGCAGAAAAGAAACATCGTGAGCCCTATTACTTTGGCTAAATACTTATTGGTAGATGCCACATATCAACAAAGTTCTGGTTAAGTTCGAGGCGCTTCCGCGAGACGCTATTACAAGGAGACGTGACACTGACTCACATTTTGAATTCACCACTGGAAATCGAACCCACAACAACCCAACAACATTGAAACACTATAACCACGTCGTTATTACAACAGTACGACTAAATAATAAAGCAAAGATTCAATGACCAAGATAACTAAGTGAGAAATGTACTGTCATTTCATTTCAATAGAAAATTAACGTAGGGTAGTTGTAAAAACAGCCATTTTGTGTCACGCGGGTAGAAGCTCTGCTGCGCGCGGTTCGGATCGCAGTTGTCGTAGCGTCCTCCGACAGGACAGACGTCTCGACCCCAAACGGGGAAATCCCGATATGCGCTCCACTTTCACTGGAGTTTCGCGTCTGAAATAGAATGTTTAAAAACACGTTAATGTTTAAATTCGAGACAATATCACTCTTAATTTAGATAGGAAAATAAAAATATTAGATCTAGTTTTAATTCGCTTTTTGTTTGTATCTTTAGTTCTTTTGAAGTCTGTTTAGCTTCTAGATACGAGGAGAAATAAATGCATTTCAGAATCTATGGACTTTTCTAACATAGATCATAAAACCTTATAAGACAAATTTACTGTGTACGTATCGGTTAATATTGTGACATAGTCTGTAATAGTAGTAGCTTGGGTTTAGGACCTCGAAGTTTATACTTTAGCTCTCACGCTATACATATAGAAACTCACCGGAAGAATATGTGATGCTCTACACTGCAGCGCCATAACCTCTTGCTAGCTCTAGAGGACGATAGCCGAAAGGTCAGGTGTGTTTCGAATTCGTCGAACTCGCTGGGACGCAAGCGCAGCGTGTAAAGTCGCTTATTGTAGCTGATCTTGAGAATCTTCGTCCAGGGAAACCGGTTCATTATTATTCTGTGAATGTGAATTCTGAATTATTTTTTCTAAGATTTAATCAAATCAGAGAGGAATTAATCGCGTTTTAAACCGTTAAAAAGTGTTTTATTTAAAAATACTATAATCAACAGAACGACTGTAATTTCGCAGTAGATACAGGCGACACCAAAATTAATAGGATATACATCCTGAAATCTTTATTATTTTCACATGATGGCACTATATAAATTAAAAATTAATTTTGGATTGAAAAAAATCGAACGAAGACGTGTAGTAGGACTCGGTAGCTCAATCGGTTAGAGCAACAGCACGGATCGTTGTCGATGCCGGTTCAAGTTCTGTCAGTGTCGTGTTTTTTTAAATTTAAAATCTATCGCTAATGATAAGCCCTACCCATCTCTCAGTATTGAGATTCCCGAAGCAGACACAGCGATGCTGATGTCAACGTCCTCCGAATCTTTCGCATTGTGAACTTCAGCGCCATACAGAGGTAGCCTCTTCGCGTTTTCCAAGTAATTAAGTTCCGCTTCAGCTGGGGTTTGGCCTCTGGAAAATAGATTTAAGAAATGTATTCCGGAGATAATATAATTCAAACAACTTTTCGAAGACAAGAGATAGGGCTCTGTCGCGAGGACAGAGATTAAAAACATCAATACTTTTAACCATTTTAAACGCGAAATACGTAAGTTAAATTAACTTTCGGATGCTTTGTAGCAGCCGTGATCACGGAGAGATTGAATATGAAGGGTAACCCTAATGTTAAAGTCAAAACTACTACGCTAGCGTCATCTGTAGCAGTTTTGACATTAGGAACAATGCGTAACTACGTTTCCGTTAAGCATTTTTATTATTTTTCTTAATATTTTGGGAACCGTTTTTTAATGTAGAGTTCGGGCTTTGGCCAAAAATCGATTAACTGTGAGACATTAGTCATATAACATCTCTTCTTCTATGCTCTCAGCTCATATGTCAAATCTTCATTTAAAGACCTTTACAATCGTGAGCCTCACCTGTGCTTAGCGTACAACTGCTCAATATTGTCCTGCTGGATATCATTGAGGGCGTGAATCGGTATCGCGCTGTGTTCGCAAAGAGACGAGCTGCTCACCAGGCCCTGCTTGTCTCCTAACTCCGCTTGGAGCACGTACGAGGCCAGCAGCGCGTATGTTATTTGGGAGCATGACAGTCTACCTGAAGGTAAAAGAAACGCATTCATCAAACCCTGAGAAATTAAAAGAACACAAAAAATCCATGATGTAAGTACTTAGACGTTACGTAGCTGAAACTGGAATCATTCGTCGGGTTTTAACGCGTTTAGGATGGTTTAATTTAATGTGCATAGTGATCTATCTATATTAAATATTATCATATAAATTGAACAAATTTACGACTCGGACAGGATTTCAACCGGTATGCACAGCGATCCGAGGTGCTGCTCTAACCAATAGACCTACACGTCATCATCAAATTTTTCAACAGATTTTTAATTTATATAGTGCCATCATGTGCAATGATAAAACTGCAACTTTAAAATGCAATAGTTAAGGTCGAAATTACATTGCGCGAGAGGTGCATGTATCATGTGTTAAAAAAGCCCTTACTTCGCGGTCACTTATAATTCTGGTATTTTACATATCGATAGTTGTAGGTTTCTTCAATTCAAAGTAGATTTATTATAAACTGTCCTACAGTAAAACCTTACCTTCTACCAAATCTCGTCTGACAGCAAGACTCAGTTGGTAACGCGTAACGTCGTCTTGCAATTCAGAGGGCTCTGGTGGGTAGAACTTCACCGCTAGTCGAACGTCCCATGGTTCATCTAGGAGAGGGAAAACATTTTTCATTTGAATAAATAAAATAAAATACTCATTAATTTCGGTAAAAACCACAGTGGAATCTGTTTAAATACTTATATTCAAATTTGTTCCAAAATTCAAATCAAACCTGCACGAAGCGGAAGTAATCTTATAAATATTTAAAAAATAAGTTGTAGAAAAAACATACTTCTGAAAGTCTTAGACAAACGTCGCCCTAGATCCACCCAGATGCGTGGGTCTCCGCGTTGCGTGTGCAGAAGACCAAAGAAATCCCTTTCCAGAATATCCAGGGTATCGCATACTTTGTCCAACAGATCAGCGCCACGAGCTTTGCGCTGTAATAAAAATGTCGTCTGATTAATAAGACTGACACATTTAGGTTAAGAATTGTGTGCACTAGATGAGATACCTCAGCCTATAGCATCTAAACAAGATGCACTTTCGATCACGAACGATAACATATCTTTCGCATTGTAAGTAAGACAAATGATAACTTACATCAATATCCAGGGTAATATGCTCTCCATTCAGCATCTCGACTCGAACCCGAGCGGTCCCCGTCTTCCGAAGACCAATCATGCTGGTGCCTTCGTCTGACGCTAGGCGCCTCAGACTTTCGCGCATCGTACTGTAAAATTTAATTTTAAATGATTATTTATGTCTGGATATGGTCTGCAGTTTACGCGAGTAGTAATCATTTACATAAAACACTTTAACGGTTTAAATCGCGATATATATTAGTAATTTTTTTTAAATCAATTTACCTATTTTGTATTTGTATTCTATGTGGTTGTGCAATAAAGTGTTTTAAGTCATAATAAGCTTGAGCTTTCGAGCTTTACGGCCATCTTAATTGACAACTTTGAAAACGAAATAATTGATGTGCAAAATGGCCACGAAAGTCCAATTTGAAAACTCCAATAGTATCACATGACGCATTATATAAAAATCTATATGGGTGGAAAACACATTTTCGACACGAGCAAGAGTTGAACCGGCATTCACAGCGTTACATGTTGCTGCTGTAACTAAATGAGTTACCGTGTTTTAATTTACACTTAACTATTTAAAAGCTATAACGTATTTTTCGATTGCTTAACTAAATGGCTATAGAGGAACGTTTTAAATAATCTTCTAAGAACTGAGATTTTTCTAAGAAAGTAAATTAGCAATAATAATCCACTAAATTGAAAACGGCATAAGATGAAAGCCCTTCTGTTATTCAACCTTGCGAAGCGAATAAACTATTTTAGCATCAGAGAGTGCTCTTGAGATTCCAATACGTTATAATAGACAGTTGTGTAAACTCGTAAATTTCCCAAAGTGATAAACTTTATTATAACAAAGACTCGCTGCTAGGCGCCAAAACTCGAGTTTTGGCTTCGGATTGCGTTCACCTAGATTTCATAGAGATCTAGATCTAGGAGATAAATAGCTCTATATAATTGCGTATTGGCCTAGAAGCTAGATGATTATGAAAAATATTTATTTATTTTAGATAAATAAAGGAATGCCTCCCGTGACCGCAGCTGCTGCAAAGCGTCGAGCCAGGTTAAATTAAATGAACTTATTTTAGTTAACTAAACATTTCTGCGTTTTAAACCATTGAAATTGTTTTATTTCAATGGCGTACTAGTTAAGCTTTAACGTAACAATTAAGATCGGTATATATGTATATATTAGTAATACATTATATGATATTTCTACCCGACTTGAATCTTACGATACGTTGAGAGTCTCAGGTTCAAGAACCAATAATTAAAGCTAAATTTACACAGTACTCCTCCCCCCTTCACCCACTGCGAACTCACCGAACAAACGACTGCCCAGAACTCCGAGGCCCTAATGTTATTATTAAGCCAGAAAGAATTAAGGTACTCGTTGTCTATTAATACTGGCAGAAGTATTTTTAATCGTTCCTTGCTCTGCCCTGGAAAGGTCAAGCCACTTAGATTTTATTAGATCAGCCTACGCCCAGCTAATCGATTACTTTGAACTTATCACGAAAAATTCTGTCAAAGAAAGTACTTTTCAAGGGCCACGACAAAAGGCTTAGTGATTGAGCGATCATTTGTTGTTAAGAAAGTACTTATGTATTGTAATAAAACACTTTTAACGTTAAACGCGATATATATTAGTTAATTTATATACCATTTGTTTTATTTAAAGCTCAAAGTTTTGGATGATTTGCAGCAGCTACGGGGTGATAAAAATATATAACATCTAGTTGACTGAGATGACAAGTTAAAATAAATTTTTAATAAGTTAAAACATTTAATTCGCATTTTAAACCTTTAAAAGTGCTTTATTTAAATGTGTACTACTCGCGTAAACTACACACGAAACTTAAATATTTTTTAAAGTTTTCAAACATTTGCGATATGTTTAATGACTTTTTTTTTAGGTTAGTTATGTTTTGTCACTTTTAAAAAATACTCTATTATATAATGTTTGTTTCCTAGTAAATGGAACTAAATGAAGTTCCAAAATAAAACTTTTTACCCTTTTTACACGCACTAATCATTATTATGAGGGTGGCATCCCCTAACAATATTGTCTGGCTTCACATTAGAGATGCCATAAAAGGGACCATAATATATTTTTATAAGCTTTACAAACTTTAAAATCCTGGTCTTTCGTATTTTTATAAACTAAGTACTTATATGTGAAGGTTAAAGTTAACAGCCTAAATATTTTTCACTTGTTATGCATTATGATACTATAAAATTTAAAAATCGATTAGTAGGTATTTTTGAAACAAAAATTCGACACGGCCACGACCTTAATGCGTAAGAGAGTGAAGGTAGAAATTAGATTGCACGAGAGGTGCGAGTTAAGTCCTGGCTGTGTCGTAATTTTTTTTTTTTTTTTCAATTTATAATCGATTTTTAATTTATAAGTCAAGGTTAAGGTAAATTGGTCATCCCGTCGCGTACAAGAGAAAATTATAATTGACCAAAATTCTAATCCATTTTAAAAAGAGTTTAAAGCTTTGTTAACCACTGAGCTATCGCCGTAATTATTTCATATTATAGATAGATACTCTACAAACGTGGGCGCACAAACAGGGACGAGACATAATTTTAGAACGTTAATTAACATTTTGTAATAAAATACATAATATGAAATACATTATAAGCTTTTTTTTACTTTTCTGTTTCTCGTGCCAGGATTAAAAATGTATGGGCGTCGCAATAATCCCGAGGTATCTCGCTCACCAAGTGGGTCAGATCCGCGTGACGTCATCGGGTCCGTACCGGTTTGCAGCCAATTTAAATATTCGAGCTATTCGGGGACTCCATCATTCGAGCTATCCGGTGATGCGTTTGTTTAGTTATATTGTTATGTAGACAAGGAAAACTTATAGAAGTAACAATAATTGGTAATATTGCATTGATTTCTACCAAATTTGATTAACGATTTGTGAACGGTTCTTAGGAGTTAATTTAAAAGATAGACTTGTATTTTGCGATCATTAAAAGAAGAAACATATTTTTATACACAATTTTTGAACCGTTTTCGCAACGCACGCAACGGTACAAAAGCCCGCAAATATGAAAAACTTAGTCCACATTTTCGCTATCAATCGTCTATACAAAAAACTATTTTCCAATTCAACCCCGTCGATGATGAGATTGGCGCATTTCAAGAAACACACTATTCAGCAATATAATTTTATTATAGGTTGGTACATTATCACAAAACATCAAGGTAATAAATACATACCGTAGTTTCATGACAATGTTTTCTTAAATATTTAAATACAATTTATGAAAATATAGTCTATGGGGACAAAAACTTTAGCAACCACTATCTCGATGAAAATTTAAAGTAATTATGTTACAGTCGGTATGATAGTCCGACATTTCCTGGTATATTGATGATTTCAACATGTTTGCACCTAGATATACGGTAAGCGTTGAGTAATGCAATGTACACATGATGAGATTAAACGTGACTCTCGTAGTATTACTGAAAGCTTTGTAGAGCTTAGTCATCTCGACAAAAGTTGTTTGTGTGGTCAGCGTGCTTTTGTCAACAACAGATAAGTTGTTTGCATTTCGAATATGTCTTTTGACATTCGAAAATCCACAGATTAAAATCTGATTAAGGTTCGCGTATGACAATTGTCAGACCAATTGAGGTCAGTCGCGGTCGAAATAAGTGAAGTATGTAATTTCATTCGCATCTAAATGCATTTGGGACGGTCATGGTTTGATGCATACAATGTTGCATCTTGGCACGATAGCTTCTAAACAGTATCCAATTTGCTATAATAAGAGGCCATTAAATATGTAATAAGAAATTATTAAGCCTGGCGCTCTTCCCTTCGCTTGGAAATACCTAAGTAAAATGTATTTATACATAAGGCTGCTAGAGGCAGAGGGGCCTAATAACAAATAACATGATTTTCAACAAGGACGAAAATAAAAATGCGCAATTAACATAGGCCAAAATGAATTAGTACTATACAAATTTTTTTAACATTTTTATATTACAAAAATATTAATAAGTCAAGTCTTTAAATTGCAGCTAGGCTACTCTGTCTCTAGCTGCCTCATTTAATTGGCCGTTTAGGTACCTTATTACCTTCGATTACACCTCTCACTAGGTCGTTTATTTTTTGATGATAAATGACAGTGGAAGAATGTACGGAGTCCCGTGTCCCCTTAAAATGTCTAAGGTTAATGACATGATACGCTTAATCAAACATGCTGCCTTCGTATCCCGAGTTATTGGAACTGCAGACGATGAGGAATAATGAGGTAGCGGCTTTTCTATACACCTGGCTTTTCCTATTTAACGGCTGTTATTCAATAATTAGTAAGATACCAAAACGTGTTCACGCTGGGGGCATTTTTTAATACTACTGATATAAAAAATGTGTCGGGACGGTCCTTCTAAGACAGCAAAGAGTCGATGTCATATTTCGGTCATTTTAAAATTACTATGCATATGAAAATGCAGGTATAATTCCTCAATAGTATGGTATAGTAGATACCAGGTATTTTAACCGAGTAATCTGTACGCGCGTTTATCAGTCATAACTGTTACATACTTATAAAACGATAAGAACCTAAAACCTGGACACTCTCTATAGGAACCTCTTTTCTGTCCTAAAGTGTATATGTATAGACTATATCACGATACAATCTAAATCAACTGATTGGCAATATAATGTGCGGACTCATGTTTGTTATTACTAGACGAAAAACCATACTTATTTACGAATATTATGAAACCACATGTAAAAACTTTTTTGTTTAACAATTTAAGACTATATTTATTCTATATTGCGAATTACAATAACAGTAAACTGTTATCAAGAAAGATTATGATTCTACTATGCCAATAAATCAGTGCATGCAAATTAAGTTGTTATTTCTTCTTCTTATTTGAAATATTTTTATTTATAACAATTTAGTTTAATCCTAATGCAATTAATTTAGTAAAAACTAGGCGTTTTTTATTCAAGTTTTATCATAACATCTATTTCATTGTGCTCTATTGTAATATTTAAAATAAAAATATAAAATAATAATAATGCAACACTCGGACGCGGGAAACTGCGGTCAACGCCTTCAAAACTTGTCAAACAACATTGTAAATTAGTAACGAAAACCTACCTTACGCCGGTTTGTACACTAATGTATTGAATATGCACTTTTTCACATAATTATGCAGTTAATCAATTGTTAACTTTATGTTTTCATCGAGGACTTATCGCGGTTTATGGTAAATTTCGTAAGCGATCATTCGAAACCGCCTTTGCTACCGAGAATGAGAAAATGTTAAGCATTCAGGGAGCAACAGAGAGAGACACCGATGTGTTTCATCCTTGTCTATGAGAAAGTTTTGCATAGCCTTGGACTTGACAGAGACGAAAGCTTAAACCTTTGAAATTTGGAAGCTTATAAATATTTCATTACCATTAAAGAGGATTAAATAGTATTTTCTTTTTTTAATATGTGTAAAATTAATATATAATATGAAAAAATATTGGTATTATTTTACTACCATCAGGTTACGTTTCATAAAGAGAAACACTTTCTTTTCAGAGTTATTGGAAATTAAACCTGTATTGAAATGAAACTTATTGTTACAGCCATTTATTAGTATGCTAACAATGAAAGTAATTGTCTTGAGAATTAAAGTTGAACAATAGAATGAATCAGTGAATTGATTGCAACTAATTATGTTCACAGCATTTGGCGTTATCATCGCGTAATGATTTTATTGAATACATATTACGAATGAAAAACCTATAATACATCTAATAACCAATACATATTTTTTTGCAATATTTATTTAAAACTTTTAGGTTTAAGTTTGAATTTAAATAATACTATAATTACAAACGCCTACAGAATTTTACTTAGCAAATATGTTTATTGTTAATTATCAGAATTTGCTAAAAAATAATGATATAGATAGTGTCACTTATTTCAAATGACAATTTACTGGTATATGTTTATTAGTGACGTTTGTATAACCTTTAAAAGTGTGTTTTCACAGCGTGTTAATGTTTATTATTTACATTTAGTTCATTTTCTTCTATTTATCACTTAAGTAATTATGGGAGAAGATATACAGCACAGCAACGAAAATAAGAAGCGTCAACGTAAGAAACGCAAGAATTTCATATCAAACGCCAAGAAATACGCTAAGAAGGGACAACTCGGCCGTGGTACCCAAATTCCGGAGGAGTTATACCAGTATTTTGTTGGTATATTAGATGTGATAAAAGAAGGTATTCAAGATCCAGATGAGAGAGGTGTGTATGACATGAAATACTTAAGATTTACCTATTATATATGTAGAAACTTTTTAGATTATAGGTTGTTTATTGTAAATAACACATTTTAAACCAATTTCAGAGGCCCTAGTTAAAAATGTACTAGAACGTACAAAAGGTGAAGAATTAAATGTTGTTGGAAACCAACTAGGATGTCGCCTTGTAGAGTTGCTGTTACCCTACTCCTCACCCGATGACCTTGAGAGATTCATAGAAATATTATCTCCAGAACTACGACGTCTTTGTGCTGATAACTTTTCCAGTCATGTCATCGAAACTTTATTACGAGTATCGTGCTTCAGAGCCACAGAACACTTACAAATATCTGAAGAGCCAGCAGCAAAGAAAAAGAAAAAAGATATTGGCTTTTCTGAGGAACATTTAAAAGCGTGTCATGAGTTTACGATCAAATTGTGTAAATATGCTCTTAACAATTTAGAAGATTTTGTCTGGGATCCTTATGCAAATCATATCTTGCGTAGTGTGTTGAAATGCTTGAGTGGCATCACTTTATTACCTGGTGAGAAGCCGAAGGTTAATTTATTTAAGGAAACAGTGCAAGACAAGAAAGGTATACCACCACACTTAACAAGTATGGAATACAAGATTGTTCCTGATGAATTTAAGGAGATAGTTGTAGAGTTTGCTAACAGATTATCATCTTGGCCGCAGTTCAAAGATATGCCATATGAAAACTTGACTTCTGGCTTGTTACAAGTATTACTGTATGCTGTGAAGAATGTAGATAAGAAATTAACAAAGGACTTAGTCAATAAGATGATGGATGAGAGTTTTGTGCCTGAGGGATGGGTGGGCAAAAGTGTGGATGAGAAAAAAGAGGAGAAAGACATAGAAACTGAGCAGGAGGTTGAGGGAAACAGCTTACCACCTGTTTTTGAATCTGAAGCAGCTGTTAGGTAAGAATTTCATCAGTGAATGTGAATTTTCATTCAATTAAGTACTGTGTTACTAGTAAAGGGTATGTTTAAACAAACAGATTATTTTGTAGCCTAACTGGGATTCAAACCCCCAACTTTGATATTTAATTATATCTACTGGTGCTTATGCATGCAAAATGAATGTATTCATATATTGAAACAATGATTTATAAAACTTTTTAGGTTATTAGAAGCTGCACTGTTTGTGGTAAAAAAGAAGACATACACACAAATATATGCCCGTTGCTTCATAAATCGTTTGTCTCAGCTAGCTGCAATGCCTATGCTCAACTTCACTGTGCAACGTCTTATTGACAATTGTCAAATAAAAGAAGAGGTTATTATACTTATGTATTCAATATATATTCATTGATATATCCTAATAAGTGTTGTCTGCCATTTAATAGTTACCACTGCCAGGACTCAGCTTCATTAACAAGCAAAAATATTGGCAAAAGACACTATTGTTATTGAAATTACTAGCTAGTAGTGTCTTATCTCCATGACACAAAAAGAACAAGATTTTACTAGTGTATAGATGAGTACAAAATTTTGAAATTTTAATATTTCAGTTTGAACCAATGTTTGATGAATTGTCAATCAAATTTGACACTTTGTTGGCTTGTGGAAACACTGGAGTGCTTGTTGCACTTGCTAAAGCGTGCTTGAGGATTGAAGCAAGGCAGTCACAGTTTGTGCAGGTAAGAAGTAAAGCAATTCACACTTAACTAAAATAATTAAACATTCTTGCTTCATTCGGGTTACATAAGCATAGTTGTTACACATTACATACTAACTTCTACCATCATTATAAGTTTAAACTAATTCGACGCAATTTTGTTGTCAAAATTTCAGACTCTAGAAAAATCACTCAACTGCTCTGAGGGTGAGAATCAAAAGCACTTTGCTATACAGTGTCTTCGTCTGGCTCCGCTTGGTGGTAATATTTCTGCTTCAACAGAGGGATTCTTCATTCACATACACGGTTCTGTGATTGTTCAGACTATGCTGGACTTCCAGGTAACAAAAATTCATCTATCAAATACTGACCTCTAAAGATTAGTTATGTACCTGTTTTGTGGAAAAAACTTAGTAGTTAATATATTATTAGTATTATGAACTATTTTAATAGGCAATTTTTTTTTTAATCTTTACCTACCATGTCCTATATTATCTCAGAATTTCTATAGGTAGAGTTTATTTTGATATTATTACTAAATAAATGCTATTATTTTGCATAAACATTTTTGCAATGTAAACATTTATTCCTTTTGTTTTCCAGCGACCAACAAAAACCGTCCAGAGCATACTAGAACAACAGCCGGAGACTCTTCTGTATATATTTAGTGAAGCGAAAGGGTGCCATGTGGCGGATGCTCTCTTTAAGGGGAGGTTTGTGGGCGTAAAAGCACGGGACAAGCTTATATGGAAACTTAAGGTATTGGAAACATACGTATTGATCAATATTTTCATTAATTTTGATGAATTTGACTGAAGAAGCAGATCGTTTTGACTAATTAATGTATTTAATTTAATTTATATGTTTTTATTTATGTATTACTCACAGAACATTTATTTACAGGGTTGTTTCCAAACGTTAGCCATGTCGCAATATGGTTCGAGGGCTTTCGAGAAAATCTACGAAGCGGCTTCAAACGAACAGAAAGTCAAAATAATGGCGGAATTGTCAGATAAGAGCAATCTTCTGAACAGCACCAACTATGGCCGTTTGATAGCGACGAAGCTAGATGTCGCTGCTTTCAAATTGTCTCAGAGCAAGTGGGAGCAAAAATATTTAAAGAAAAACGATAAAAAATCTGATTAAAAGTGTCTGTTCTGCTTAATTACTCTTTTATTATGTTGTATGACGTGATTCCTTATTTTAAACAATTTTCGATGTCTTCATGAGCATAAAAGAGAGGTATCACACAAACTTGAACTTAATTATATAAATAAAATTGTAGGACTTTATAAACAAATCATATTCTATATTGGCATATCCCGTTACAACCCTTCGGTATTTCCCCAGGACGCAACTTGCAAATTTTATCTCCACATACGTATTCGCCTTTACGCAGAGAAATCTGTGGTGGCGGCCGGGGATTACCTGGAAAAATGGTATTATGAACAGCACGCAGTAGTGACAAGAATTACTCTATCTCTACTACCTCCTAGATGAAAACAGTTTACCATCTCTTCCCCGAAAATACTCCTGCGCAACAGGTTCACAATTAAACCATGCAGGCCTGGGGAAAACATAATTTTATCTAGATTAAAAATATGTGCTACTCACCTTTTATACCCGGTATTTGTCCCTTAACATGTTGCCTCGTGTGGGGTATGGAATGACTGTCATCGTCCGATCCTTTTGTCCTGGGAGCACAACTCACCAAGACTGCAACGCTAATGACCAGGAAGAAAACCTAGAAATGGCAAAAAGTGAGAGGACACGAATCGGTGACTCCTGAGTTGAGTGTTGGTTAGGGCAAAGACTATGTGCCAAATATACTTTTTTCCTTGTACAATATTATTTTTTTATTAAATATACTACAAAGGAATTATTTTTTTTAACAAAAAAAACATGACTTACCGTTGCGTTCATCTCGTGTGCGTGTACTCTTGTGACTAAGCTGCGACCGTGACTCAAAACAAGTTAGGTGACCGATTGCTTTGCTTTATTCCCTCTAGAACCAACATACAATGAATACTTTCGATTTTGTTGGGACCTACAGATTTGTAAAAACAAAAGTACTAATTTATAATAAATAATGTTAGCAGTTTATAGTTTACTTACCCTTATCTCACACTTCAAACTGCATTAAAACATTTTAATGAACTACAAGGAGTCAAACTTACTCTTACCACAACATAATCGAAATCTCTTTTATACCTAAAATAGGTTTAGTAATTTTGTACTTTTAAACATCTAAATTTTATTAACCTAATATTATATTCAGTATAATTGGTTAGAGCAACAGCACGGAATGCTGTGAATATCGGATGCTGTGTAATGGAAGTCCTGCTCGAATCGTATTTTTTTTTTAATTTGTTATCGATTTTTTATTTATATAATGTTATCGTGTGCAATAAAATGTGAAAAATATTAAAGTTTTCAATCATAGTATCTTTCTAATTCTTCATCCCTTTCTGCCCCAGGACAATTCCATAGCATTGTATCTTATGGGCTAAGTGGAATAAACTTATGTTGTCTATGCTAAATAGTTTTAACTGAGGTTAATGGTATTAATTACCACGAAACAACCGCATCACTTGATTTATGGAGATGTTTGCAGTCTTAGGAAAAAACATCAAAATTTGTTGATATAATACAATCGTAAATTAAGCTAAGGCCAAGAAACAAATTATAGGAATGGCCCTCACAGATTGTCTCAATCCTAAATATGCGTCGAGCCGTTTGGAAATTGTAAGTTACATACATACACGGTCAAGCGACATTTTTTTTATAAATTATTCAAACAAAGGGCTAATAAATGTTAAAGTGCTTTTAAATATTGTGTAGTTAGGAAATGAAAATAATCAGTGTCTTATACGCACTAAAAGACATCATGCTGTATATAGCTAGAGGAAATAGGAAGTGCAAACAGTTTGTATTAATTTTACAACTCTCGTGATTAAAATTCTGAGAACATATTATAAACATGAGTAATTTAAGTTTTGCCTTTATGTAAAATGCCTTTATATACTATATTGTAACTATCAGTTAGCAGACTTGTATTGTCATATTGATTTCTAACTTTATACTGTCTTAGGTACATAAGTTTTATATACGGTGGGTGTTTATTTTTATATATTGAAAACAGAATTGCACGGGGTTCGCTTGATGGTAGTTGAAATTCTTCACCTATATAACGATTGAACGAGATGCTCTGTGGACAGTGGTTCGTCAGCTGGATCGAATTTCGACACTCCAGCCACCCATTGTATATCCAGGTTTCCAGATGAAATCCAACATCACTGAACCCGGTGGGGATCGAACCCGCTTTCAGTTTATTATTAGCCGCACATTTTGAAAGTTCTTAGTTTTTTTAATTACTACACTACTTAGAAAGGTTCATCTGTTAGTCTAGAAACATGTCTGTAGTTTACGCGAGTAGTATACGATTAAATAAAACACTTTAACGATTTCAAACGTGAATTTAATTTATTTAAATTTCAGATGCCTTTATCGTAAGTACAGATGTTTATTGATTTATGTCGCAAGGTATGTACGAAATGAAGGTTCTCAAAGATCGGTGCCGGTGGTCAAGTTTCCAATTGCAAGCCTTCAAAAGCAATCCTTCGCGAATGGCGAGCGCTGACGGGTTATGATTAAACCTCAGCGTTGCTTCGAGGACTTTTGTGGTGCTGCTCGCGACGTGGACACTGGAGCGACCACGCATCTAGATTTTCACGGACATTTAAATGTTCTCGTGCGTTTGTTATTTACGTCTCGTTTTATGATCATTACTACGTTGAATATTTTTTCATTCGATTTTCGTTTTTGCTTAAAAACTGCTAACAGATTCTTAAAATTAGCGAAATGTGAAACTGAAACAACCAACATATTATAAACTGAACCGATTGTTTGTTTTTAATTCGGTTTAATTTCTAGGAATCATCCCACAAGTACCAAATGCATGGTGCCCCTACTAAATGTAATTTGGCTCGTTGATAGTTGAGAGTGGAGAGTTCACGTCAACTCAACTTCCCTGCTCTGTGGAAATGCACTAATTGATTTATGCGCCTCATCGGGCTTGTCACCACGACCGTCGATACCACTTCTCGTGTTTAAGAACACAAAATTATTTGTTTTCACTAAATACTATTGTATTGGTACTTTTATTGAACTGCAACAAAACAGCAATAATTTTGATTTTATGCAGTGCCCTAGGTAGTCTATGCCTATTGCGTTAAGCGTGAGAGATCCTGGGTTCGAATCCCAGAGCAAAAAAATATTTCTGCCGGGTAGAGTACAGAAGGCTGATCAACTACTTGCCTGTAATGAACCGATCAGTGAAGGGTCACAGAAATTTCTGTGGCTGGCTGTGGCTGTGGTTGTCATGGGGCTTGATCCGAGGGGCATGCCCCACGGCTTAAGATTCACTTCAGTTCCAAAAATGTCGAAAGAACGCATTTTTACACGTATCAAACAAGTAAATACCTATTAAGGTGCGTTTCTTTTTTTCTATAACAAATACGTATAATTTTCTCCTTGTAATAAATGAAAAACAAAAACCTAGAAATTTACGTACCTAACCACCACATGAATGATTAATTGTGCAAAGGTAGAGAAAAATAGGTTTAGATATAGCTTATTGCGACTGTTCCACGCTTCATGAAATATTATGGTTATATTTCACTACATTTAAGTGGAAATACTTTGACTTGTCTGATTCGTTAAATCGATGGCCCGACAGACGTCAGGTTTTAAATCCTCTTTGGCCGTGTCAAAAATGGTGACGGGTGTCTCGGGCTGAGTCTCAGCCCATGGGCATATCGCTGTTAGCCGCGAACAACGCTTTGTGATCATTTACTTTGATATTCAAAGGTACACTGTGTCAGACATTCTGTAGTTGTTCCGTATGTTAAGTAAATTTTAATGTCATATTACGTTGAATGACTGAAGTATTTAATTCTTCACGAATTTAACGTACCTAGTTAATTTAACTAAAAGCGAGAGGTCCTATCTTCCAGGGTTAGTATAACGCTTTTCGCTCAAACAGAGCGCAGGCCTTACGTATATTGTTTGCATGTAAATATATGAATGAATTGTAGAACAGACACAGAAATGCTCCTAAACGATGCAGCACTGGGAAAAACAATATACCACATTAATATAGCTATACTATATAATTTCAGCGATCTCATATGTCTATACTAATATTATAAAGCTTTAGCGTTTGTTTGCTTAAATGAAGTTGCAAAATTTCCATCACAGTATGACTCTTATATATAATTACTTAAAATTAGGTGACTCGCAAGAGCCCTTTTTATGGTAATAAATTTTGGTAAAACTAATGCATTTGAAAACATTAATATTTTTCAAATACGTAAGCATTATAACATGTCAGCGTTCAGCGTCAGAGCCACAATACGGACCGCTGACGATGCCCGTTCAAGTCCTGCCCGAGTCGATTTTTTTTTTCAATTTAATTTCCTTTTTTTAAAAAACTAATGCATTATTTACAAATAGCTGTTACGTTTGTCGGATCAGCTAGTATTTTATATGCGCCTGCATATACATATTATTTTTTCACCCAGGCTCTAAGTTTTATTATCATATATGGTCGATAATTATAGATATAGTAAACCTCTCATTATGGCAACTATGATCGATTCTAAGTAAGGATTTATTCTAATAAAATATGTATATGATCATATAATTATTAGTCTCTTGCATGAGTAATGTGTGACTAGATTATTTTGCTAGTAAATAACGATGTTTATGAGCCCAGAAGTTCTTTTAGAGATATTTGTAAACGATCATTTAGATTTTATATATTTAAAGACAAATAAGCTGATGAAATCGAAAATAATAGTTAAATTTTATTCGATGCGTCGTAAGGTTGTCAGACTAAGTTCAAAGAACGAAATTCTCTCAGTTTGAACAAAAATGCTTCAGAAGTCCCTTTGTATGTCAACTGTCAAGTGTCTTAAATATAAAACGCCCGGGGGGGTAAAAGAGGGTCTTAGGTTAAAAGTCTCATATTATTGAGATAGGTAAATTATTTAAGAACTTATTGAACATGATGGCATTATATAAATTAATAGTCTATTTAGCTTACTCATGGTAGCTCAATTGCTTAGAACAGCAGCAAGTAACGAGGTGAATGCTGGTTCACAAGTCCCGCCGTGTCACAATTTTTTAATCTGATATATTTTTAATTTAGGTAAATTATTATTGAACTTGATTTCTTTAAATGTGGCATTTTTGTATTTGTTTTGAGCAACTCGATTTTGTCGATACGTGTTTTCTACGCCCTTTTTTATCGATTGAAAATTTGAAATACGTCTTATGCATAACTGGCATTAAACATAATAGAATAATAGTATAAACTAAGCTCTGCAGCCTATGCTGTAAAGAAGATACGACAGCTTACTGATGAAAATACAGCCAAGCTTGTCTATTTTAGTTATTTCCATAGTGTAATGTCTTACGGCATCCTTTTATGGGGCAATGCAGCCGATATTCAAACTATATTTGTTTTACAGAAAAGGGCCATTCGAGCGATTTGTGGTCTTTCCCCACGAGAGTCCGTCCGAGATAAATTTAAATCATTGAATATTCTAACATTAGCAAGTCAATATATTTATGAAAATGTGTTGTAAGGAATATAAGGAACTGTAATAAAAACTTGGCAGTTAAAAGGAGTGGCGGCGAGTTTCTTGCCAGTTCATCTTGTTCGTTCTACGCCCTAACTTGGGAACTGGTAGTAACTGTAACTATAAATTAAAGAGTTTTAAATTTTTACCTGTTTTGACGTTCATAAGTGTACTAAGCTCTACATAATCATGAATAAATGATTCTTGATTAAAGGCATGTATATCATAAGGATCAGCACGCTAAGGTAGTGACGACCCGACGTCGAATGCTTTTCACCCGTAAGTCATCCGACGTCGGGTCGTTACTAAATTCCAGAAATTATAGTATATACGAATATTTTATTTGCAAAAATTCTTTGTGTTATGTCTAAAGGAATATTCTTTTGTTTAAAATAAAAAAATAAGCATTATTTTCTAACATCATTTATTACAATAAATTAGTTACTTATTAGTCGAAATGACTCGGAATGGATTTCTTAAAATTATAAATAATTCATTATTTATACAATAATTTAGTTATCTACCACTATATATTAATATTGCACATATATCAATCGTATTTATGATTTAATAATGAAATGTGACACCTTTATATTTACACATTACAATTCTTAAAAATTACTTAATAAAATAAAAACTTTAGTTCACTTTAAAGACAAAAATATATAATTTTATAAACATAAAAATAAACAAACAACAATTTATGGCACGCTTCAAAGAATTCTGCTGAAAAGATTAATAACTCTTTATTACAGACAAAATAAATATCCTCTACATTTAATACGTTAATAATATTTTGTTTTATTGAATAGATAAGTTTCTACATTATTACCATGTGCAAAAATTACACAAGCAAGTACAACGCTATGTATAAAAAGGCGTTTTATGCCTCCAACTAACCAGAGATGTTTTAAAACAATTGTCGCGCAAGCTTAGCATTATAATAGTTATAATATAAAAAGCTATCTACATTATACCTACACAAAAATTTATAGTAATTATTACTGACAATTACTAGAATTCATCCGTATTTACATTTTACAATCTTGTACTCTCGTTAATTGCTCTCTACAGATAAAAAAATTATCTCCGCACTTTCCTCGGGAATCTGACGTTTCCGAAGTATTCTCTGTTGCGTCATTTTTTCCCGCCAATTGCGCCGATGAGGCCTTGCGCGGTGGACAGTGTTGCCAGGGCTATTCTCTCATTAGCACCTGTCAGATTGTTTTGGTTGAGTAATCTGTCAGGGTTGATGCTGGTTATTGACAGCCTGTTGTCCGGAATAGTTGTGGTGGGGGTGGCCTGCGTTGTGGAGATGGGGGTGGTAGAACGGGGGAGGGCTTTCGCGAGGGTCGCAGACGCTGGTGGCGAGGAACGCAACATGGCCGATGGTTTTTGATCGCGGCCGCTGCAGACCTGTTGAAAATTTATTATCATTGCTTATTAAATCTTTGCAAGACTTTTATACGGTCATTATAACATAACATAAATCACATAACAGAGTTAAAAGTCCGGTGTAATAATCCGTATAGTAAGAATAAAAGTGTGCTCTGTACCTGATGATGGTTCTCCCAGTCCTTGTGCTGGCAGAAGGCGCCGCAGTATCGAGCCGCATTGCAACCAGAACAAGTTTCTTGCGCTTTGCGACCACAATTCCAGCAACACTGTGCCCAAAATATATAGAATATTGTTTATTTGGTGAAATGTATTTATGCAGAGTAAAAAAAATGGTTTATTTAAGAACTATCATGCGACTCATACGTATTTTATAAATATTTTACAAATATATTTTAAAAAAACAACAATGAACCAGGCTTGTTGGGACTAGGAGGAGGTAATATATAGGTCTTACTTGCTGTCCCGCGGAGCTGGGACTCAAATCTCTGCCCGGCGGGGGCGAGTGCCGTCTCTCCACCTTTCCTCGTTCCGCTGCAACCAGTTCCAGTGCTTTGGATTCTGCCGCTCCAACAGCACGCTGTAACTCCAGCAGAGCTTGGCGTTTCACCTAGATATATAACATTAATCTTAGTGCACATACAATAATTTTCTTCATCGTGCGCTTATTTCGTGATAAACACCACCATTCCCAAACGACCTTAGTTAGGTATTAGATTTTTTTAACTACGGCCTGATATTTCGGATGCTTTGCAGCCGCCGTGGTCACGAGGAGACCCGGACAATAATTTTCAAATAAGTTTAACTAATATATTTCGCGTTTTAAACTGTTTCATTTGAATGTGTACTGCTTACGTTAACTACATATCGTGTACAATAATATGAATGAATGCTTTTTCGTTCATTTGATAGACGCTAAGGCGATTATATTAGTTTAACTTTATTACCTGATTAACAGCATCTTCAGCTCGTCTCCGGACTTCGGCGACTCTTTCCTCCGTCTGTCGTACAGCAGCGGCCATGATCTCGCTCGCGACGCGTTTTATATCTGTGTTTTCAGCTGGCTCTACACCTGCAACATTCGCTCTATGCATATCGCAGAATTTCTTTCATTTTTGTGATAGAGATGCATGAGATTCAGTTGATGGGTGGTGAAATACTCCAGCCATGTGACATCTCACAAGATACCCTTTCGACCTATTTTGGCTTTGGATTTTGATAGATCACAGACTGTGGATGGAGGTTCGTGAACCGAACGGAATATCAATTGTGGACTATTGATATCCAGATTTCAGATGTTTCAGGAAATATATAAATTGCTTTCATTCTTGCTTGAACCCGGTAGATCGAAAGCACGACATGGTGAATATTAGTCATGCCTTGTTACCATTAAATCAACAAGTCCGCCATTAAAGCTGAGTTAAGGTTTTTTTTTTAATTCACCGTAAGTTTGGTGCGTCACTAATAATATTTAAGTACAACAAAAGGATTCTTAGTGTTCAAATAATATGTGGTGAAAGTTGTTAAAGTGGATATTTGAAAGTTAAAAGGCATAAAATATAGGTATACAGTAAAATGAACCCACACCAAACATATTATTTAACTTTTCATCTCTCGTCAAAATAGTAAAACATATCCTCGCACCTGTGCTTCTTTGCTGCAGTATAGCCAGGGCCCGTTTTGTCTTCTCGACCATGCTTAGGATGCAGTTCAGCATAGTGTTGATGTTCTTCCACTCGTCATCATTTTTCAGCAACCCTTGGGGGCGAGGCTCTGGGAGTGTGGCATTCATTGAGGAGACATCGCGCACTGATATACCACCTGAGTGTCAGAGGAATTGTTTATTTCAAATACCATAATATATTTAATCTGTGGTATCTCCCAATTCGTACTTGGTACATTTAAGTATTTGACTTAAAGAAATTTGCACCTAAAACTTGATCTATAGTAAATATTATATTGTAGATATTTTTTTTATACTTGTTGCTCAAAACTTTAAAAAAAAATATAAGGTTGCCCAGGGAACCCCTTTTTTTCATTGTGTAAACATTCTGCTGAAAGAATTTTAAATATGAGATAAAAAGATTTGCTTTACAATAATAAAAAAAAATACGAATCGATGTAAGAACTTTCTTTTTTTGAAGTCGGTTGAAATACGCGTTCATTCACGACACGTATCGAAAAGCTTTTCGCTAAGTTCCTGACGATCAAATAAACATACTTTATAATATTAGAAGCGATATGACTTACCATCTCGCCTCTCGAACGGCTGTTCCTGCGGGTGGTATCCGTGGTAGGGGTATTCGAACAAGCTGGCGTTGCTGGGAAGAGGGTAGAACGGAGAAGGGTTGAAGAGACTGGGCCTCTTCGCGTGTGGAGGGTAGTCGTCATGAGAACCGTTCGTTTGGGCCTCATAGAATCTGAAATAGTGTATCATGATGCATCTCAATTCATTTTGTGACGCACTTCTATTTCATTTTCTTAATAGACTTTTAGTGCCAATGTACAACTACTGAACCTAAATACTATTAATTGCTTTAATATTATTAATTATTGCAATAATACACGTTACCATACGTAGTTCATATTACTGCGCAAAGTTTCTCAATGCATTTTCCAATCCATATGTTTATCAAATATCAAAGGTACAACAAAATAAGAGTATGTTCTTGTTAAGGGAAGTTTTTTTTAAATATTAATACCTCTCACACAATCGATAGCACCATAGATAAACTTTTAAATTAGTTGAATTCGCAAACATTCGCCGAAACTTCCCCATTGTACCCGATTATTTCAGAGAACAAAGACCTCTTTGTATTTGCGATAGATAATTAATAGAATTCCAAACAACTCATAAACAAAACTTCTACAAGGTTTTAATCGAGGGGTTCTTTTAGGCTTGAGGGTAAATTTTAAGACAAGGGCTAAGACAATCTTTGTTCACAAAGAACAAAAACGTTATTTGGACGGGTCAATCGATGAAGTTTACGGTTACAATACGTTGAACGTTACAACAGGCACTTTATTTGATTTAACAAGTCTGACGACATAGGCGGGACTTGAACCGACATCCATAGCATTCCGTGCTGTTGCTGTAACCAATTGGGCTAATCCAATTGCTTCAACGCATCGATACATCCACCTCTCTTACTAATACTCTTTACATGTAATTGTTATGTCTGTATTCTGCAGTGCTAAATAAATATTTATCAACCCTGTATTAAAAAGTCGGGCTATTTATAACACGGTTTATAGAATTATACAATTAAGTAGTCCGATGCAGGCGCTCTGTTGTTTCGATAATTATTTATTGCCTATTGCACTTCCCAAATAGTTTGGCGATAGGGTTCGCTCTGTGTGCCAAGTCACAAGTGCTCGTTACCCGTCTCTTACGAAAGCATATTTCAAGAACTTAGGGAATATACAAATACAAGATAATAGTGCATTAACATGGATTAATATTTCGTAGTTTTGGTTTGATAAAACTGACTTGTAATGTAATTTATGAATGTACTCGTAGAGTACATTTTTCTAGTCTGTAATGTGTATACGCCAAAATTAATGTACGACTATCCTTCATTCAATATCGCCTTTTGCTTTAAGTCCTACCCGTGTCGTAAAATTATTTCAAATCAAAAATTGAGTTTTATTGGTTATAATGCCTATGTGAAAAATATAAAAAAATGATGTATCTTTTTTTCCTCTCTCAAGATTTTGTAATCCTGTTTAGCTATATATTACCGTACATATAAATAATTCTTTATTAGTTTATAAAATAAAAAATTAGATGACATCTTAGATATCTATAATGTTGAATATCTATTTCCATATTCTTTCTACCGCTATATAGGGTCGAGTTGGTTTTCAGAATCGCTCTCGCTCATGCCTCAGGCGGTGGGTTCAATGAAGGCTGGCCGGTACCCAATAGTCCAATAGGCGCGTTGTCGCGATGCAATCGAGAATACATAATGTACGGCGCGGTTTTTGGAACCGGCTCAATTAATTATTCTACTAATGGTGGTTTTGGCTCACGTTTTGTTTACTAATATTTTAATCTCGTAATTAGCGGTTTGGCAAAAATACAACGCCGTACGCCCATGGTTACGACGATAACCGAAATTTATTCGAGCACCCTGCACCACATAAACGATTGATTGCCCCCCAGGGCAGTATATATAAAGTTTTTGTGAGTATATAATCTTATTTTCTAATTTAGTATGTGCTTACAAGAATGTTTAGGCACACTGACTAAAGGAAAATGCTATCGAGTGTTATCGTGAATTGTAGAAAAATTAAAAATATTGTATAGCTATAGAAATGCTTGCTTAGTTTTTTTAACTAAAAACAATAATCTCTTTGTTCGTTTACTTTATAATTAAAAGCACATTCGATCGAAAGCGATAATTTAATAGTTAACGCCTTTATAGAGCGATTAGGCAAAGTTTTGATTGTACCTGATTGCTATGTGCTCGGCATCAGGCGCGGTATATTAACGACCGCTTTTAACTGATTTTCATGATAAGAATTTTAAATACCCAATCAAAGTTTAATTTGCGAATATATTAAAAAAGGAAATGAATTGTTTCATATAGCTATATTTATATATTTATTATCTTTCCTCCTTTTTAATTTTAGATTAAAGTGTGTAATTAGGAAACATTAGTTAGTAAGATCGAAGGATATTAATTTAGGATCTTCAGTTTGATTTACCTCGGTCCAGATGAGTGAAAAACAAATTAATGTGATATTAGTAAAGGGCCTTTTTTCTTCAGAACCTGTTATAACACAATTTCGTATAATAATATTGTTGTAGGAATAATAGCATACAAAAATTATTTTCAATAAAGACGAAGAAGATTTGTTCGACTATTAAACATTGCTTTGAAGTAATGATATCAAAGTAGGATTGCAGAGATTGTTAAGCAATCACAAAAAAGTGTTAGACAAGCTTGGAGTCCTAAATATCGTTACTAAACATACATGATATGCAGAAAACTAAGCGAAAGGGGTAGAAAGGGGTAAAAATGTAGTGGTAACAGATGCGAGTGGCAGCTAGTTACGTTTCGTAGCAAATTAGCAGGCAATTGGTCTGAACGGGCGTTAGAGCCAGCCAAGAACACCTGCTTACTTCACAAACGACGGCTGCTGAGCTGCGTTTAATGACAAACAAACTGTTTGATAAGCACGAGTTAAGAAGAGACTGTGCTGGAGCAAAGATAAGTCAGGTATCTACTACATGTAGGCATGCCTACTTGCCATTGTCTTTATTTGTACAGTGAAGAATTAAATCAAATATTTGTTTTTTAAATAAACTCGTTTTGTTTTTTGGTTTTAACACAACTTACGTTTTAGCGTTGTTTCAATTTCGACTACCTGGTTATCAGAACAGAATCCAACACATTGACTTGTTTGTTCATGTCACACAAGATTATTTTATCTTAAGTTTTGACACCGCGAGCCTACCCTACACTATGCAAGGTTCTTCCAAACTGCAAGAAGGCGGTCAAAGTGCATGTGATAATTATAAATAAACATATTTATTGCGACTGTTTTAACTTAATAAAACAGAAAACAATCGCACGACGATTAGCACTTTGACAACTAACGTAAAGTGCTGACAAATCAAAACTCCGAAAGTGCCACATGGGAACCCCAATCGTTAAGCAATTACGCACAAACTTTACGTTTACGTTCAATATTTTATAACCTGGCAACACTGTTTAACGAAATTTCTACGAGGGTGATGGTTTGGAGTAATAATCGAAAGTTCTTTGAATTTTTAGAAAACCATATATAAATATGGCTAATTAAATCCTTTAGTACTCAAGACCAAACTGGATATAACCTGCATTATAAAAATAAATAATACGTAAAAAATCTTAGTTCGTATAACAATAAGATTTTTGACCAAAACATAATTACAACCTGTAAGTTTACCATAATCTGTATGCGGAGCAGATTTGAATGCACTTTAAGAGAACATTTAATAAGTCGGTTAGAGCTTAGATATGGCAGGATGTAAATAAAGGCTTTTTAATGGATGGTTCATATAAGAGCGGAATATAGGAATAACATCTGTGTAAGTGTAATTCCGCCCCAGCCAGTGTATTTTGGCAGGCGTTAATCATTAGACGGCACATATAGTGGAGTTTTAGCAAGCTGCTCTAACAATTTAAGAGGCCATTACTAGTACGCGTGCACCTAACGAATGCTGTTGTTTGCCAAACTGGTGCATAACTATCGATTATTAAACTGCTCGGGATATCGTTACTTAAATTATCGTTTTTGATTTAAAGTCGAGGATTTAAGAGCCCGTCATGTGGATTCATCTTAAGTAATTTATAATCAATTTTAACTTTTAATGTAGTTTAAGCACCTTTCCCATTAACTGCTAATTTCCAATGCCTCATTCCCCTCTACGGATGATATTTGAATATACAACTATCATTACGCCAAACCTATCTATTGCTTTGCAAAGTATTATATATTCTTTGTAGCTTCTTCACTAGTATCAGTTTATCTGTTCTTATACAATATTAATAACGTACAGCATTCAGCGAGTAGATGTTTAGTGACGTGTAGCCATTTTCGTATAGCATTTAAAACATAAACGGTTGTAATGATTCGGTTTAAAGTTAAAGGCCAAAAGAAGACTAATATTGAATAGGTTTCTTTTCATTATATTGTGAATGTAAGATATGAGGAATCTACAGGCTCATAGGTATTGACTTGAATAGTTAAACGTGTAACGTTACGCCTAGCATTGCATTGAGCACTAGATGTCCTAAATCGAATACCGGAGAAACAACAGATGGTTTCTCTCGAACAAGGCATAAAAGTCTGATTAACTACTAGCTTGTAAATAAAAGCGATAAGCGGCAGAACACTTAATAGTCGTATATTAATTTGTATATTAGTATAAAACGTGTCTTTGAAGGAAGCAATGTTGTTTAAGTCTCACAAAAGAAAAGCAAACGTTAAGCACACCTAACTCCCATGAATGTTATTGACATGTTATTAAACCTTAAACAGTTCAATCAGATCTAACAATTGCGTACAATGGGCGATGTCACGCAGGCACACCGCAAAAACCCGCGCCACGCTGCCTATGACAGCTCGGAGCGGGCGCTTCTCCAATGAGAGCGAAGCTAGCATACGCGAGTAGTAACTACAGTCTGACGTTGTCCCTCCGAGACTACAGCTGCTGCAAAGCATCATATACGTCGGGCCGTAGTAGCAAAGCGTAGTTGAAATTGTAAATAAGTTAACTAATACGTTTCGCGTTTCAAACCGTTTGATTTAAATGTTTGTTTTTAAACTGCGCAAGATTACACACGTCATGTACTATTATTTCAATCATAGCAACAGTAATTTTCCAAGTAAATTAAGATCGATTGTATGATAGAAAAATTAGAATTGGAGTAAGCTTGGTGTAGCTAAAAATGTTGGCTTTGTTTATTAAAATTTGACGTACATACAGTAGAGTGTAGACTGCTGAAAGTGACTTCAACTCTTTCCACTTTCTTCTCTTTACTTCCACAAAGTTAGTAAAACTACATATTATTCAATTTTACGGTACCTACATGAAAATGGTATATTGTAATTCGGTATTTTTTTCTAATACTTCTCCCAAGAGTTGCAAAGAACTGTTGTATATTTAGAGCAAATAAATAGCAAAGCTTCAACTGGATAGCAAGCACGATCTCAAGTGTCGAGTGGTGTGGGGTACAAATGACCTGTCGCGAACATCCACCTGCCGTCCGACGCGCACTCGATACATGCTCGATTCGACTTTTAATCGATTCTCACCGCAACGGCAAACCGATTGATTAATCGTTGATCAGGGTTGCGTTTAATAATTCGATTACGTAATTTTGGCGCTATGGGTCAGTGGGAAATATTTGTTATGAATTGTAAATTGTAAATGGATAAATTAAATCCAAAAAAATATGTCCTCATGCGTATATTATTCAGAATAATCCTATAAATGTTTAATTTATAAGTATACTAAAACGTAATTTCTCGTGCCCAAAACCTTAGAGAAAAAAACAGCGAAATTAAGTGCGTAACGAAGAAGTAGAGAGGATTACGAATGCATTCGATACTTACGGGTCGCTGGCTCGGCGCTTCGCTCCAGCTTCAGCGGAGCCGTGCTGCGCAAAGATGTCTCCTTCACCGGGTGCCTCCAGTATAAGGTGCTCGTGTGACCTTATGTACTGAAGTGGTGTCTAAAGACAAATATATATATTTTACAGATTATTTACAAGCTTTAAGATTTTTTTTTGCAATATAAATCAGATAGTACATCATTATTTCTGTAAAAAAAATATTAAGATTATTTATTATTGAGTTATATCAGAATATAACAAAATTAATTAAGTGAAACTAGGACTGCATTAAACAAAAACAGAAGGAAGGCTGTAAATAAGGCCGTAGTAGGTATATTACCTGTTTCATTCTCCTAGCTCTCGCGTGCAAGTCCCTTTGTGCCAAAGGAAGCAAAGCCCTCAGGAAACCGGGAACAGACGCGCGCAAAGGATAGTTGGTGCACTCTTGCACGCCCGATTGGAAATCCTCGATGTTCATCACTCCAGCCTAAGAAGGACAATATTAAGGTTACATACTTCTGTCGCGGACTATAGAGCTTTTGACGCATTTTTGGATGGCATAGTGATTGAATGATATACAAATTAAAAATCGTCCAAAGGCGAGTCGAGCTCTCATACAAAAAGTTCCGTTAACCTAGATTGGAAATTTCACATTGCAACATTATTTTCAAGTAGGCCTTTTACCTATCTGTGACAATGTATTACTACCGACCTAAAAAGGTAAAAATGGTGATATGATAGAAGAAGAAAAAATAAAACAAATGTTCCTTAAATATTTGTTTATTTTTTTGCATTTTTTGATAAATAATATACATAATGATAAATAAGTTACATGTAATATAAACGTTTACTCTTAAGTAACTGTCATACAAAAAAGAAAAAATCGACAACAAATCTATAATAATATTTAAAACAAATAAAGTTACTTACAACTAAGTTGAATATCAGTTGTCTCACACGTTCACCTATATCTGCCCCCATGTCATTCGCGAACTGATGAAGGGCGGATACAAATTTGCGGAGACGCTGCAGCGCCGGTGCCGACTTGGAACCTTCTGGTAGAGGCGGTGAAAGAGACTCAGTTGACGATAGAGCCGCTAAAACGATATAGTTTCTAAAATAATTTAAAAGTCCACAATTTTTAGTTTTATATATTCACTAAAAACATATCGAATACAGACAATCCACAGATTAAAAAGCCGCAAGTTTAATCAAGTTTTAGTTTTAGTCTGTGGACTTTTTAATAAAAGTTAAAATAGGTCAATCTTCCACAATTGTTTGATATTATATGGCTAGGGTATTTTATCTTCCATCAAATAATCCCATACATATCTGTACGATACGGTTTAGCATATAAAAAAGTTACAGTAGATAGTTAGTGGTGTACAATAGTAGTAATGTTTTGATATTAAAATTGTTCATATTTAAGTAAAAGTTTTTAGAAATAGATAATAAAGGAAATGTCTAATTAGGGTAAGTAAAAAATATGTTATAACCGAATATGGCAGACAAGTCGGAGCTAATAAAGGCACAATAATCTATAGGTCGGAAGTAAACAAGAAAGCTTATTTATACTTCAGATAGTTCAGTTCGTAATACAATTTCGATACTACTTTAATATGTTTGAGAAAAATTTAAATTCACGTGTTTGACATGTTGGATGCGGTGGGAATCAAACTAATGTCTCAGTATAAGAGATAATAATTATTTTATAAGAACTAAGTCGTCTAATAAACTTAAAAGTGTAGGTTGAGTTGAAGTAGTAATAATTCATTATACCTGCGGTGCCGTTAATCTGTGGACTCGGTGGCCCAGGAGCTGGGGACGATCTGGTCTCCTCCTGTTCTGGTGATCGATGCTCCTTGCCTGATGTTGTGGCTGTAACAAAATAAAAAAAAAGTATGAAAAAAACAAATCTTCGATTACTTAGAATGGAAGAAAGAAGACAATTAATATATATTATTATTTCTGATATATTTTCTGCCCATCAATTTTATTTTCTTGTATGTATGCATCTCTTGTTTAATGTATGTAGACCTTAACACCTACTATGTGTTCTCATAATAATACTATTAAATATTGTCTGTAATTTACGATGTTTAAAGTGTTTTATTTAAATGTGTAGTGTACACATTTAAATAAAACACTTTAACGGTTTAAAACTCGAAATATATTATTCAAACTTATTTGAAAATGATTTTAACTAAGACCCGACGTTTTGGATACATTGCAGCAGCCGTGGTCACGGGGAGACTCTCACCAACTACATCGCGTTTTAAACCGTTAAAGTTTTACATTTAACTAATACTATATACAATTATATTAATCTTTAGTCGATCACGAACCGTGTCTCGCATCTCTTTCAGCTAAAGCGACTAACTGGTATTAACGGAGTCCCGAACACCTTGCTATAAGCAGCAAGGTACACACTGTGACGAGAATCGTGACCTCGCATAAACAAACACTATATCGGACGTCGAAGCCCAGATTGATACTAATGCAGCCCTAATGCTTCACGATTCTATTAGCGAACCGCTTTATAAACAGAACCTATAGAGGAATTCGAAAAGAACTAAGACTATAACGGTTTAAAATGAGATGTTTATTAGTTAAACTTATTTGGAAATGATTTTAACGACGGCCTATTTTTTCAGAATTCTGCGCGGAGGAATGACCTGGCCAGTTTCGCCAAATACCAAGTACGACGGAACAGATGTCGCTAGCGTAGCAGTTTTTACTTTAATATGAGGGACACCCTCTATCTTAGTCCCCCCGTAACCATGGCCGCTGCAAAGCTTCCGAAACGTCTAGCCATAGTTAAAACAATTTCCAAATAAGAATTACATACATCTAAACATACGTATTAGTTAGATCTGTTTTAAGTAAAGTGCTTGAAGGATTGTTGTATGTTTCGTTGTAAGCGACTTTGATGTCAGTCATGAACAAGTTATAACCGAACCAAATTTCAGTTCTCTGATGGAAAAAGCCGAGTAGCCTGCTGATGACAGAATAAATAAAAGTTTAGTAGAGCTAGTGGTGTGCCAAGTGCGGCGCGCGTGCTGCCGACATGCCCTCTGCCACTAGTGATGTTCATCACTTAGCGATGTTTTATGATACAGTAGAACAGACAAGAATGGGGTTCCGTTGATGGTGGGTGAAATACCCCAGACAACATCAGCATCTATACAAGATGTGCTGCCGACCTATTTTTGCTTTGTATAATCTGAAATCAATAGACTGAAACCAAATCGTGATTTAATCCGTGGACGGTTCGGTGGCTCGTGACCCGGACGGTATTTTGATATTCCTACCTCCCATTTAATATCTCGATTTCCAGACTAAGTCCAATTTGTTTCGGAGAATTTGGGTGGGGTTCGAGCCCACGACCCGTTGTTTATTAGCCGTATATTGCTAGCATTACACCAACAAATGGCCGTCAAAACGTTTATAACTTTGCGTTTTCAAAATGTACCTATATCCTCAGTATCGGAGTAAAAAAAGGATTCACTAATTAGGCTTTTTATTATTCCATGCAAGAGCGAAATATCTATTACATATAAAATGCTATTTTATATAATAGTTTGTCTTTTTTATTTCTACATAAAAGTTTTTGTAATAAAAATATATACAAAAGTATACCAAAGCAACAGTTTGTTATTTCATAATAGTTTAGTTTTTTTTTATTCTAATTACCAATTAATACAGTACGCAGGAGTCTCTTATTGGTTAGTCATAGAAATGTACATCTGCTATTATTCTTTATCGATGTTGTATGTACATCACTACTCGTTATCGAGTTGGCTGCGCGTGGCAGACACCTCGGGCAGCTTTCATCCCGCAATTACTACGAAAATATTTCGTAATGATAACAGGAACTCGATTTCTATACAAGTCCAAGCCATAGTTATATAGTGGGTACCCTTATTACAATTTACCAATATATCACACCAAGCTTTGATTTAAAAAGTAATCATAAGTATTGTCTGTAGTTTACGCGGGTAGTACACATTCAAATAGAACAACTTTTTGGCTTAAAATGCGAAATATTTAAACAATTAACTTCGGCTCGACGTTGAAATACATATAAGTTTCGCGTTTGAAACCGTTAAACGTCTTTTAGTAAGTAATTAAAAGTAATAAAAATTTACATCTCCAGTATGTGAAGATTTTTTTGTCAAAATGTTATGATTGTTATCATAAAACAAAGCTTAGTGATAATACAAAATTTTTTTTTATAACCTCTACTTTCTGAGTTGGTTTACAGTAAGGCGTCCGTTTGATTAGTGTTATAATAAACAATATTATTAAATTAATATTATAAAGACCAGTAGAATCCTAAAATATCGAAAGCGTTATATACATTTTTATTGGCCTAGTTAAAAACAAAATATTCCTAAATAAAATACTTTTAACGGATTAAAACGCGAAATATATTAGTGATTAATTGTTGATAAGCTTTAAAAGCTAAGTATTTCGTAAATGAATGTCTGTTGAAGGTCTAACGTAGTCCTTTTCTATCTTTTCCAAAGCGAGATACGTTTAGCGCAATCGGAATAGCATTAACAGTAATCCAATGCGTTGTTTTGACAGCGTGATGAGTGGGCTCTCTGCTTGGAGCACCCTCTAACCTCTTACATGACTTATAGCGGTCGAGTAATCAGGAAGCCATAGATAATGTACAGCCTAGCGCCGAATAGTGCGACTTGGGAAAGATTTATAACGAATTTCATATAGTTTCATAGTTTACAGACGAAAGTCGGGTTTTAACATAGACATCTACATTTATTGTTTTCCCGTAAATCGATGAAACTAATAGATAAGTTATTTTATTCACTTAATAAGTCTAGTTTGTGGGTCTTACAATTCATTTTTCTTTGAAAACTATAGTCATAAAAAATACTAAAATATAATAATAATAAAAAAATCTACTAAGATACAAACGTTATCTGTCTAATAGAATAAATATAGAATTCAATAATGAAAAATACGATAGTTTACGCGAGTAGTACACATTTAAATAAAACACTTTAACGGTTTAAAACGCGATATTTTTTCGACGTCCCCTACCACGCGCTAAAGTCCGAGGGGAATAATTCAATAAGTATTTTTAAACCGTTAAAGTGTTTTTTTAAAAAATAATAAATTTTGAATTTGCATGTTGTAAATTATAAAACGTGATCACACAACTTACTAAGCTATAACTAAAGTGCATACATATTAAACAGTGACATCGTAAACAAGAAAAATACAGGTCTGAAGGAAAACGATAAAAGATGCAAAGCAAATTATAGGCCACGGGGACAAAACTACAATCATTTGTTATGTCGATTCAAGTTAAATATTCATGCTCGATGCTTACAAGGTATATGCGTTGCAAGTAAGGGACGAGGAAAGCTTTTTTTTATATAAAGAAAAACGAATGTGTTTTGTCTTATGAAATGCCGCAAAAACATATAAATCATAAAGCACAATTAAAAAATTTAATGGATGGCTGTTAATTGTAAAACTTATTTAGTTTTAACAGAACGCTGTAGATTCCAGTTCAAGTCAGGTGTTGTGTTTGAAAAATCATTTAGATTGAAATTTGCTCAATTAAAATCTTTTAAATAACCTTTAGATTTTATTTCAAAATTTTAATTGCACAGTATAATGCCATCATGTGAAAAATATTGTTTTGAAACGTGGCATATATTGTTTTAAATATGGTCCTGCATGAATATTGGTGACTTGTGATTGTGGATTAAGATAAAGCCATTTATGTTCAGTTTTTTAAAGTAGGGAGAAAGCATTATGTATGTAGTTCTTGTCACTTTTACGTTGCCTCGTAGTTCTAGCTACGAGGCAACGTAGGTACGGAGGTACTAATGTAGCACGGTACACGCGTAGCAGTGGCAGCGCGTAGCTACCGTAGTCCGTAGCATGTATCGTTCTTAAATACTGACATTTTCAAATAAGTTTAACTAATATATCGCGTTTTAAACCGTTAAAGTGTTTTATTTAAATATGTATCGTTCTTACTCAAACAAGTTGAAAGTACAATAATTCATCTTTATATCCATAGTAATGGCATGTCAATAATCAAAAGGAATGACGTGTACATAAGAACTTCATAAAACTATGAAAGATCGTATAAAAAATGTTGTTTATCTGCATTTAATTACGAGAACTGTATTTATTTTTCAGTCCATTAATAAAGCAAATATTATTTTTCCTTTTCTTTTAAATGTACCAAGTTGTTTATTTATTTTCCTTCCGAGTTCAATTTGGAAAAACGCTTATATAAACATAAAAAAAATCGTCGGCATTTGAGATCGTGAGCACGCAAATCCCTCAGACGCGGTATCTATCACGGGTGTACGCGGGCCTTGTGGGCCCACGCGTGCGTTCCCACGCTGGATAATTCATGGTGTTTGCTCTTCGGAACCCCTCATCGATTATCAACGAGCTATAATTGTATGTTTCACTTGTATTTGTCATTCATAGTACAAAATTGATGACTTATGGATAGAAATTGGTTATGGCGTTGAAAATAACGTAAATCGACAATAGAAAAAGTGCTTTTGTTATATGCCTAACTAAGAATCTATTCCTTTATTTTGTAGGAAAAAATTAAAAATGAAATTTTCTAGGGAGATATATTGAAGTAGGAATAATCGTGGTTATGTTACGGCTTTAAGCAACACCAAGCAAATGGTAAATATTACTCTTTAAAAATCGAAAATAAATTGAAAAAATTTTCGACTCGGGCAGGACTTGAACCGGCATCGTCAGTTTTTAAATCGATTTTTAAATTATATAGTGCCTTTATGTGCAATAACATGTAAAAATTAATAAAGTTTTCAAATATTACTCTTTGTCTAATAAAAAACAATAATTTGACATACCAGGTAATACCGATAAATGTTACTTTTAAACTTGTCTTTTATAAAAGTCCACGTTAAAATCGATATTTAGTTCGTATTAAAATTATATGCAATTTTCATACAATGCGCTTTATTTTTAGTGAAAAATTGTTAATACTTTTCTATACACTCAGCAATGTTATACTAGGAGCTAAGTGTACGCGGTCAAAGAGCAGCATTTAATAAATTATAATCTGTGTGTGACAGGCCAGCACAATAATTTATTTACGGTACATTTTTGCGCGTCTGTTCAAGACGTTCAGTCTTTGCCACTGAAACGTTTCATTTAAATGCTGTTTAATGAAGGCATTGATCTAGCAAGTATACACACTGTGATATACAACTTATGGAAACTAAGTACTAAGTGTATTCAGACTTATTTATTTCCGAAAATATTGTTAAATAAATTAGGCAAACGTGTAAGGAGTGCTAAAATTAATATATAAATAAGTTTTACGTTTTGACCAATGTGAACAACACATAACTAACTTCATTTAAAATAGGATAATAATGATTGTGTCGTGTGAAGTGTGCAGAATTTTAATATTCCGTAAAATTTTGGTTTAAGTTACCGAATTTTCAGTGATTTTGTGAACTTAGCTTTACGCGAGAAGTGCACGTATTCATAAGATTAAACAAAATCGACGATGACGTGTAGGATATGGTAGCTCAATTGGTTAGAGCAATAGCACAGAACGCTGTGGATGCCGGTTCAAGTCTCACCCCGCTCGTAACTTTTTTTAAATCTAAAATCGAAGTTAAGGGTTACTAAACCATAAAACCGGTGATATTAGAAACCAATTTTAATTGAAACCTTTTCACTCTTTAACTTTTCCAACATTAAAAATCGATATATTTTTTATGACAATTATGATGAATGGTATATACATATCAAATAAGATTCGTATCATAATTGTAAAAGTCTAATGCAACAACATCGCATGTATTATTAATAGAAAATAAACGTTCAAAATTTAACATTTCTCTTCCACAAAATTCTCTATATAAATGGTTTATTTACACGGAAACATTGTTGTCAGCTTCCAGAAGAGACATTTTCGATATAAGATCGAATTAAACCATATCACGTAGTTTATTCTTTGATTGACTTCGTCCGAGTTGTACAAGTAAAAGATACAAATTTGTCTTAGTTACATAGCGTAACTAACTTGCAGCTGCTATACATTTTAACTATAAATACTTCTTGTTCCACTATATATCTCTCCCATTATCTATATATAAATATCATGTCGTCAGAAAATCATCAAGTATAGAATGTGCTGAGGAAAAGTTACATGTCGCTTCTAGTTCTCTAGATCCTGTGCTGGTGCTCCGTGCCTCGCACCATCGTCGTTAGATTATGATCGACGCAGTTGTTTCAGTTCCCACACTGCCTAGCGCCTACACAGCTATAGCACAATGCCTACATATTATATCGTTCCGTGAACATTAACTGTATTATACTAAATTGAGATGCTATAACTCTTAAATCCTATGCTTATAATGGATCTGATTTCTGTGGTTGTCTTTTTTTGAAGATTAATATAAATTATACGTCATCTCCCTGATATAGCTACTTGGATGTTAAAGTTAGATCTATTGACTTCGCTCATCTTGAATAAACGACAGTAACGATTTTTATACGATTCTATAAAATTATTTCCTGAAATTAGGATTACACAAAACGAAAACACGAGTACATGAGCCCGGCTGGTGCGTTAAATATCTACTTACATTTTCGTCTTTCAGTAGTGGTCGGTTGATAGTCCTTATCGGGTACTTCTTCCTTCACTTTTGCCTCCATCTAAAACAAATACATTTGCGTTGGTACAGGATTTATAAGACGCAACATTAACACCTAAGACCAACACTATCTGAATGAGACCTAAAAAAGTGAATCGTCATGAAAGAAAGATTTGAAAACGTCGATATATCTAATGTTGGCTTATGAAGGTTTTGTTTTACATAAATTGCGTTTGTGCATAGTAATGTTATGTGTATTACTATCTATTACTAGCTGACGTGGCAAACGCTCTCTAGTCAGTATTTCGACCATATTATATTACTATAAAAACGGTTCTTGTGAGCTAATCTTAAAAATAACAATCTACATAACATCTAATAACCTGTCGCGAACAATTTTTTTTTAATTATTTCAAGAAGAATCTTTTATGCACGATTTTTCATCATTGAAATCATTAAAAGGTGACTAATTGTTCCCGCTGTTTCTCCGGTCTTATTGGTCGAAGCCTGATATTTTATAACATAAAGTCTTCAATAAATAGTTCAACCAACACAAAACATATTTTTTCAATTCGAACCAGTAGTTTCTGAGATTACCGCGTTCAAACAAGCTTTATAAATTGGTAGAGATTGTTCTATGTTTGCAATATACATTTGACAGAATTGGAAGGACGTGACTGATAGGTGGTTGTAGTTTAAACGATATAAAAATGGGGTCTAAGTCCCACCTGCGAAAATGAATGAAGATTTTCGAATGTTGAAAGATGACTGAAAATTTGGTAATTCTTTTTCATAATTAATGGACCGGTGGGTGAAGTTTACCCAGATGTGAAGTGCAGGTGCGCATGTGGCCACGTCCATTTATAGCGCGCGTAAACACAGCTGTCTTAGTACTTAGCAGTCGTTGACGAAAAGGATTACGTATTAAAAAAAATGTAATTTAATGAGTTAAAAAATCTTAATCACTTTATCTAAAATTTCAATTGAAGAAATTTTACGACACGGGCAGCACTTAAACCTCTGACCAATTGAGCTGCGGTGTCTTACACGTCATCGTCGACTTTTTTATAATTTATTTTTAATATATACGTTAATATATTTCATACGTTTTTACGCTAAGAATCGAAACGTAAATAATAATAAATCAAGAATTACTGAGCAGAGACTTAAATTTCATTAACATATTAAATTTATTTATTTTTAACGTTAAATAAGTTTATATAAATAAATTACAACTTTAGTTTAGATAAAAATATATATGAAAAAGGCGAGGACGTGCCTTGCACTCTTGCCGTCTTGCCGTCGAGTCTTGCACGTGTTATCGAATTATTTCAATCTAAAATACATTTTATTTTTTATTGATATAATTTATTATATAAATAATGACTTCTATTTTAAACGGTTTATTTAGCTCGACCCGAACTAAATTTATTTACTTGGGTCAAAATTAGAAATTGAAATTGAAGCACATTTAATATAGATGACAATACAATGTAATAAAATCAAAAACATTATAAATCCAACATGGCCGCCGATACAAAATGGCGGATTACATATTTTTCCTTAACCCCCTCAATACGCGTATCAAATGAAAGGGGGCTACACTAGTAAAACACGATGATTATGACATTCTTTTTGTAGCTTTCAGTGCACAAAAAATAAAACTGTTTAACTTAAAAGTTTTTAAGTTACATATTAAGATTAAATTATTATAAATTCAAAGGGGACATAATCAGGTAACCTTTTTTTTTAATTTTTACCACTTTAATTAATCAAAAAGCTGATGACAATTCTATGAACCCTAGAAAATGCGGAAATATTACAAAAACCTAGTTCTATATATTTAAAAAAAATATTTTTCGACTTTCCATACAACACGGCCACATTTGGCAAATACCTTATTTTATAAAGAGTTAAATTCGTGAAGGTAAGAAATGCTATTAACCATCCAGCGATAACGCCTCTACAGTTTTCCAAGTGCAGAGGCGTTCTTGGTTATAGAGCAGCTGGGTTCCGTCTAATGTGACGAGAGCCATGTGCGAATACTTCGCAAATAGAGTCCCTTGGGAGAAATTTCTAAAATTAATGTATTGTGTGAATTTGCTATTAAATATTTGTAACTAGTTATGCTTTTGATGACCTAAGACATCGCGTTCGTTTTGATTTATTCTAGAAATAAAAGAAAATAAAGACATGTAAATAAGTTACAAAAGTGTTTCCTTTAAAAAAGATAATCTCTTGGAAGAAACATTTATTAATTACACGCGTGTTTATCAAAATTTACTATTATAAAAAACGCAGCCGGGTCTTGAACGTGCAAATTTTTTATCATTGTCGGTTTAATTTCTTATTTTCTTAGTTTTTTATATATTTACGATTGGAGTTACTTATTTGGTATACATTAAATGGGTACCCATAAAAATAAAGAAAATATCTGAAATATAGATAGTCTAATTTTAACTATGTATATTTAAGATATAATCTAAAATAAAGGCTCGCAATTACAATGTCAATTTAAACCACCGCTTTGCAAATTTCAGATTTTGATTATATGTATCTGAAAATCATTCGAATGAATTCCTGTATCCGTTTCACTTGTCAATTTGTTTTCAGGTGAGTTAGCGATCTCTATAGTGCCCTACCGAACTCTTAAATATTTTTATCCGGGGTTTGAAACAGATCAGAGTCAATGTTAGCGCCGCCTAATTTAAGGGAGCGAGTAGTAGGATATGGGTTGTGAAAAATTTCCTACTACAGTAATGCAATATCGCACAAAAACCCGGGAACAATAACTTGTAAATAGTTCAATTACGTGCAAAAGTAAAAACTCGGGCACCTGGCGTGTACACCTGTGCTAACGAGGAAAGCACCCCCCGACCTCCGCCGCCGGGGAGGTCGGCCTCAGGGTGGCTATACAAAATGAGATTCAATAAATCTGTTTAGATCGGGTTCTTAGATGTGAACTTTGGTCTAATAAAATCTTATTCTAAATAAAATATTAAGGGAAATATTTTATTCTTATTTTAAAGCAAAGTCAATATGTTTATTTCTCACGTAGCTCAGCTCAAATCACTAAATTAAGTAGCTATGACATTTTCGTTTTGAGATCTTAACAATGTGTATTTCTTCACAGTGAAACAAACAAGCTTCAAGTTTAATCTTTGTTACACATTAACAAAGATTAAACTTGAATGGAAAACCACTTACACACGATTTGTTAAAACGATTTTCTTTCAATAAAAAATAAATAGTGTAAAGTTCGTCTAATGCATAACGGTGAACAGCCGGAAATAGGGCTATCAACGCCTAAAATTTTAGAATAAAAACTACCATTTGATTATGTGGTTTGCAAATGAACCTTTAGAGGGATTTTTTGCGAAAGAAATTAAATACAAAGGCATAAAATTAGTAATATATTTCATATTATTGATTAATGATATGATAAGATATAATCACGAAATTGACATAGCCCTGTATTACCAAAACGAAGAGAAATTTATTCGTAAACAAGTAATTGGTAAGCTTTCTGAGCTCTTCTGAGAACAATCGTTTATCATATTTACCAGTGATTCGAATCTAGCATGTCTATAGCCTAACATAACGCGTTACATATGTTGTAATCGTTACAATTTGCTAAGGCCAAACTCTACGAGCTACGAAGGTTATTAACAGGAACACTTAGCTGCAACAAAAACTCTAAACTACAACATACTAAATTGAATAATTTTGCCAACCCTAAACAAATGTAAACTATTATAATTTATACAGTTGCACCCACACTGAAAGAATCCCGAGTGACAAGAAGCAGGCTGTTTTGACGTGATATTGCACAGACGTTGTAACTAATGCTGTTAGCATTTTTCCACTACTCCACTATGTGTATATGTTCACGTGGAGGAAGCGAAAGTTATACTTGAAAAAAAAAGCATGAAAAACTGTAATTAAACTTGTGTAATATTATGCTTTATTACATTAGCAATTTAAAACTTTAATACACGGTATAAATTATTTACTTTCAATAGAAAATATTAGTAAGTGCACATATTATTTTGCATATGATGGCATTAAATTATATAAAAATCAATTTTAGAAAAAAATTACGACGATAACGTGTAGGACACGGTAGTTCAATTGGTTAGAGCAACAGCACGGCACGCTTTAGATGCCGATTGTGTCGAAAAATTTTGTCTGTCTAAAGTCAAATTTTAATGTTATTTCATTAAAATATCGGTCAGTGAAACGGACATATATGTCTATAGATGATGCTAAACTGCATTATCATATTGTATTAATATTCTGTAATCATGTACCGATAACGAAGTCAGGAGTCAAAAGAATCGAGCACTAATTTAAACATCATCATCTATTTTCTTTATGACGTATGGAGTTGGGAAAAAGTCGATGATGAATGTATTTCCTTTTATTAGTTTGTAGGATGATGCGAATTGACTATACTTGGTTTTACAAATTATAATGAAAGCATGTGCACCATTAACCACGTAGTAAAGCGATTGAAACGGGAGAATCAATGAAATCTAGTATGATGTATAAATAGTGCTGAAACGCCATATGGCGCGCACGTGGCCCGCCTGCTCATCAAACCGTATGCCAAGGATTGATGCCACACCCGAACCCAACACCAATAAAGGCTTCGCCAAATCTCGCCAATGTTCAGCTAACTTGAGAAAAGATCCTACACTACACCACGAAAACACCACAGTTTTCCCCAGGGTTGTTTGACAAAAACTGCAAAAATCTTGTGTAAAAATGCTGAAACCTTATGTGGTGTACAGATAAATAGTAACAAGATACTCTTGATACTATTTATCTGTAAGTATCAATGTTATCTTGTGTGATCGGACGTGAATGCTTAATGTTTTTTTTATAATCCCATATAGGCAGCGGACTTCCAATTTGATTATATATTAGTTAAAATTCATAAGCATCGTGTCTACATATTTATAAGCTTAATTTTAAAGATATTTTTTTTACATATTAAGCCAATTTTTTTACCATATCTGTATATCCTTAGTGTTGTAGACCTTTAATAAAAAATAAATAAAAGGGTCCTAGATAATAAAAAAATACGGTTTGTTAAACATTATAAGACTCTATAAAATGTCATTAAACTTGCATCTACAGAGGAGCATGAAAAGAACAATTAATACAAGTACTCGCAATATATCACTCGGCGGCAATTTAAAAAATTAAACATAAAAATTCACATTAGCGGCAGCTAAACGCTATAATATTATACGATTTCCTAAATGAAAATCCATATAACACGCCAGTCGGTAGCACATGGTGGCGTACAGTGCATTAGGGAAACTAGATGTGACAGTACTCTTTACGACCAAATACTTTTTCAACTGTCGTGTCGATTAAAACGTTAGTTTTCACACACAATTTTCATAGTTTTTTTTTATTATATTGTGACTGTCAAACGCTCAAAGCCGCGGTGGCCACTGAAAATCGGCGCTGCTCCACCACGCAATGTTCTTTAGACCAAGCAGAGTGGCTTATCCTTTTCCCTGTTTACTTTATACTTTAAACACGCAAGTACTTTCTGATTACTTTATGTGTAATTGCCGGATTTTTGTTATTTTTGTGTGTATAATTGTACTAGGAATAAATGGTGTTATTTTTTTATTATTTTTACAGTATTTGTTTTATACAATTTAAAGCATGTTTAAGCAAACCTGCAAACTCAAAGACTTATAAATAATTAAGAAACTTTGTGTCGAGATAAGTTGTTAGCTCATTTTTTGCTAGATAGCTTATCTTTTCTCTGAAACAAATGTTTTTTAAACTTTATCCTTATTCTAGATTATACCGGTATCTTGCAATCGAGCGAAAAAGGC